GGTATGATCACCCTCTGCGCCATATTCCGTAAAGTCCATGGCAATAAGCACTGCAGGCGGGCACCAGAATCGGAGGAACTTTTGCTACCCATGTCGATGGACAAAAGGAGGGTCAATCCGAGGTAAAACTTACTAGAAACTAGCCCGAGGAAGCCGTCGCCTGTCATATTCACTATCTGGTTGCTACTCAAGCCTATGTCCGCTGCTGCGTCTCTGGTTGGCCGGAGCATGTCTGGGTATAAGCTTAAGAATGATCATGGTGGAACCAATCATTTGGGGGTTCTCAGAAGAGCTAGAAGCTCGCAATCCCCAGTACGCCACCCTCGGTTGGGGGGAAGAGCTACAAGGGTTGCCTACTCCAAGTTCAAGCCAGACATGGACAGGTTGACTTGCCACAAACAGCAGTTGGTTGATTTGGTATCCGTGGGATTCTGGCGCCACTGGCTTGCATGAGTAGTGACCTAGGGCAATTGAAGGTATACTCTATTTCGACATCTCGGCGGTTGACGACTCAGACATCTTACGACAAAGCTTGGGGGATTTGGTTTCGATGACTGTAATCAACTCTGCTATCATCAAAATGGGGCAAAAAAGATATAAATCCCTATCATCACACGATGGATCGTTCATATCTAGGTTCGCAATCGTTGATGGATACCAGCGGCAATCTAGGTGGATTCCATCACGGGAAGGCCGCGCCTCTCATCGTGCTCGTTATGGTCGTCAACGATAAATTGGGTGGTCAAGGCTGTGACACTAAGTAACATGGGGTTAACCACTAAAGCTGGGAATGGTCACATGGGCTAATGGGGTCATTTAGTGCCGCTTATACTCGGGAGAGCCTGAGACGGGGGACTCGTGTTCTTGAATAGGCTTCAATACTTTATTTCGGCCCCTGGCGAACAAAACCCCAAGTGAACAAAACCCCAAGTTTTCTTGCGTTGCTGTTGGACACTGGTCTTGTCGTGTAGGCTAAGTCAGCGGATTCATTGGCAACCGGAAGCCCGGCACCAGCTTATCTGCGGCTATGTAGATACCTTCCTAAAGCGGTAGGTCGGGCTCCCGCTGATGGTTGTGCGGGGCCCTAAGAGTTTGGAGCTACCAGCGATAGTGATAACGTAGACGGACCGTGATTTGCTGTACAAGGTTGCAGTGGTGATCCTGAGGAACTGTTCTAGAACAACCGCCCGCACGAGAGGGAGGGAAATGGCACCATAGCGCGCTAGCTATGACCGTTTTTGCGACGTAACAGGAGTGTCGGCACCAAGATATGGTACACAGTCAGAACTTTGGTCTAGGCTCCAAAAGGCTAATGCTCCTTGAACCAAGGGCCCCATCGCATGACCAGCCTGTCAAGGTCATGTTTGGAGAGACTCTGGGGTAAAGAGGAGCTGAAGCTCTGCATCGTTTAGAGTTCGTTGGAGAAAGACTGTTCCCCCCCTGCAAGTCACCACTGCTCGGGGACGCCAGCCCAATAGAAAGTCCACCCAGGAAGCTCTCCCTATCTGTAGAGCTCCAGCGCTATCTGGAACGGGCGTGGCGCTGGACCCAACAAAAGGCCGTGGCGAGCCCTGGGACCATGTCCTTGATAAGAAGGTCGGGTTGGTCGTATTTTTGTCTTCCGTGTTGGTATGGTGGTCAGATTGTTATGTCCAGAAGGATTGCTGATCGCTGACAGGGCAGTTTTACCAGTAGATTGGTCCGCGCCGCATGAAGCATCACGATATCTAAAACGAAATGCAACGTGATCTGGATGTGTTGCAGCTCCAAATTTACATAGATATCGCCAAGAGTGACAAGAGATTGCCAAGTCGGCAGCCAAGATGCGCCCAGAGATGTCAAGGAAACACGGGCGACAATTGACTTTTGGTGTGTGCGGCAGGCCCAGGGTACACTACAGTACAGTACCGTAGGTACAGGCACAGCACGGTCGTCGCATTGGAATGTCTCGGTTTAATTGCAGAGACAAGGGTTCTAGACCAACCCCCAGTCTACCCAGGCCCCTCTCCCCCTTCTCGGGGGAGGAGATGATATCGAGCAAGAACCCCGCTGAGCCAATTCGCCCTCTAGCGTCGCAGCTGAAGCTTATCTTAAGCTTGTTCAAAGCTGCCTAGCGTCACTGCCGGTCTTGGCTCATAAAGACACTTGGAAGCCCAGGTTTTGTTACACGTTTGTTTTGAGACAGACAGACATTTTCTATCACTTTCTCTTTCCTCAACTGTTTCTTTACTGTGCCACAGTAGAAACGTCGCCCAGCATGTCGTCGTCACCGCACAAGGATGAGGTGAATTATGAGACCAAGGACGAGACCACGGTCACGGTGCCTCACGATGAGGAGCAGGGCACGACTTCGGGCGAGGGCCAGCTCAAGCGTGATCTCCGCGGTCGACACATGCAGATGATTGCCATTGGAGGTGCCATCGGTGCTGGTCTTTTCGTCGGTTCTGGTAGTGCTCTTCACAAGGGAGGTCCCGCGTCGCTGGTAATTGGTGAGTCCCCTACTATACACCCGTCATTTGAGGATCAATGCTAATTTATCGCAGGCTGTAAGTTTCTCTCACCCGCACGACGTCGCGCAATAACCAACGCATTCTAGATCTCGTCATCGGTGTCATGTTGCTCTGCACCAACCTCGCCCTCGCAGAAATGGCTGTTCTGTACCCCGTCAACGGTGCCTTTTACACCTACATTGTCCGCTTCGTCGATCCCTCTTGGGGTTTTGCTTGTGGTTGGGAATATGCTCTGTCCTGGCTTACAGTTCTTCCCTTCGAGTTGATTGCTGCGTCCAAGACGATTGAGTTCTGGCGCACTGACATCCACATGGTTCGTAGATTTCTTTTTCTAATGATCTGCCTTGGCGTGCTTGGCGATGTCCGGTCGTCTTGGCATATGCACCTTGACGTTTTGACAGGTTCAATTAGCTAACTCTTTGTCGCTAGGCTGTTTGGGTCACTGTCTTCCTTGTCGCTCTCACCATCGTTCAGATCTTTGGTGTCCGTGGTTACGGAGAGGGTAAGCAAAGCATTTATCGACCTCGTCTTGTCAGCATCACCACTAACGCATCGCAGTCGAATTCGTCCTGTCCGCCATCAAGATCTGCGCTTGCTTGGGATTCATCATCCTCGGCATCATCATCAACTGTGGTGGTGTCGGTGATCAGGGCTACCTCGGCACCAAGTACTGGGACAACCCTGGTGCTTTCACCAACTTCAAGGGCTTCTGCGCTGTCTTTACCATTGCTGGTACGTCTTTCGCGCTGCTACACTTTTACAACGACTAATAACTATAGCCTTTGCCTTTGGTGGTACTGAAATGGTTGGTCTCGCCGCCGCTGAGACTGCTAACCCCCGCAAGTCTGTCCCTACTGCCTCCAAGCAGGTCTTTTGGCGTATTGCTCTCTTCTACGTCATCAATCTCTTCATTGTCGGAATTATTCTCCGATCTGATGATCCTCGTCTCCTCGGTGCCTCTGGCGCTAACACCAAGGCCTCGCCTTTCGTCCTCGCCATTCAAGATGCAGGCATCAAGGTTCTGCCCTCCATCTTCAACGCAGTCATCACCATCTCCGTCTTGTCCGTCGCCAACTCGTGTACCTTTGGTTCAACCCGCACCATGCAGGCTATGGCCACCCGTGGACACGCCCCCAAGTTCCTCAACTACATTGACAAGAAGGGACGTCCCCTCTGGTGTGTGCTTATTCAGCTTGCTTTCGGTCTTCTCGCCTATGTCGGAGAGGCCAAGAATGGAGGCACCGTCTTTGACTGGCTTCTGGCTTTGTCCGGTCTTGCTTTCCTCTTCGTTTGGGGTACTATCTGCCTCGCTCACGCCCGTATGCGATCTGGTTTCAAGGCCCAGGGCATCAGCCTGGACCTTGTCCCTTACAAGACTCCCTTCGGTGTCTGGGGCAGCTACCTCGGCGTCTTCCTCAATGCCATTGCTCTCATTGCCACTTTCTACTCTTGCCTCTATGTAAGTTCAACCAACCAAGACGAAACCAATTCACTGTACTAACATGACACCAGGCTCCCGACGGCTCTCCTCCCGATGCCGAGTCTTTCTTCATGGGCTTCCTCGCCGCTCCCATCATCCTCGTTCTGTACCTCGGTTACAAGGTCTACTCTCGCGACTGGAAGCTGTATGTCAAGGCCATTGATATGGATCTCCAGACTGGCATCGTCCTCCTTGATGAGCCCGAGCCCGAGACCCCCTGGTCATGGAAGAGTGCGCCAAGACGCCTGCTCTCGGCTGTTATCTAGATATCTTGGCAGAAATTGTCCTTTAAATAATTTGCTCCGGGGCACAGTAGTTTAAATCGCATTCAATATACCTCCGTCTTACTGCCCTCAATGTCATGTTACCCCAAATCTATTCGACCGGCAACAACAGGAAGTGGCCGAAGACCCAGGATCGGCTATTTTGTGAATTCTAATTCCCAATCTTCCCCAGCTTTCCCCGCAGATCGACTCGTATCATTTCTCTTTTTGGACTCTTGCCTTACGGACCTGCACTGCTACAGGCGCGCATATTTTGTAGTCTTACGTTCCATCAACCCATTTCCCGCCTTTAGCCTGAGTCGACAAGGTTGCCAAGCGCCTTTAGGCTAAAGGCAAAACTGTCCCCATGGGGAAAAGCGAGGTTGGCAATGTTTCATTCAAAGTGACAATAATGCACAAGGAAGCAAAAGGAATCACAAACGCAGCTCAGATATTGGATAATTTTGTCGCTTCTATTCGGCCCGTTACATCGTGTATGCGTCTTGAATTAGCCGAAATTGATTCGTTGCTTGTCATGTACTGGTAATACAGACACATGGATGGATGATACAAGGATTTATCCTGCAGCCTCAAACTGCCGGGTGAGATTTCATATATAGATACAAATGCAACAGCACGTCGCTGCAGTGATTTCCCTCTGGTACTCCAAGCAGTTGCATCGAGTCCACTGCGACTCTACACTTTCCGACCTTGACTACAGCCAAGACCGAACGAGACAGAGCCAACATGGGTGTCGCACCAACTACAATCGGCACTTACGATGCCGCCCTCCAGAGGCGCCAGGCGCTTATGGGTGCCAGTGGCGCGCGAGCCCTCGTCAAGAACTGGAAGGTCGCCCGAATTGCCGCGTTTGCCTGTATCGGAGGTATCCTCTACGGTTACAACCAGGGAATGTTTTCGGGCATTCTGACAATGCCTTCTTTCGAGAGCCGTAAGACTCCTCTTGTTGTTATGTGGGGATTTGCTGACATCTGCAGACATGGGAGATTACATCAAGAATCAGACCAAGAAGGGTTGGCTGACATCGATTCTCGAACTTGGTGCATGGCTCGGAACTGTCATGTCTGGTGCCATCGCTGAATTGTGCTCTCGTAAATACGGTATCTTGATCGCTACTTGCGTCTTTATCATTGGTGTCGTCATTCAGTCCACTGCCATTCAGGCTGGACACAATGTCATTCTAGCCGGGCGATTCATCACGTATGTATTTCCAGTACGCTTTGACCTCAGCTAACATCTGTAGTGGTATGGGAGTTGGTAGCTTGTCAACCATTGTCCCGCTTTACAACTCCGAATGCGCTCCACCGTATGTGACGACCGAGGCTACTGATACACAAAGGCTTACAGTGTTATAGTGAGGTTCGAGGTGCCCTGGTCGCCCTGCAACAGCTTGCCATTACTTTTGGTATCATGATTAGTTTCTGGATCGACTAGTAAGACTGACGCTCATTAGACCATTTCCATACTGACAATCGACAGCGGCTGCCATTTCATCGGTGGAACTGGCGAGGGGCAAAAAGACGCAGCTTGGCAAATCCCCATCTGCCTCCAACTCGCTCCGGCTCTTATCCTGCTCGTCGGCATGGCATGGATGCCATTCTCGCCCCGATGGCTCATCCACCATGGACGAGAAGAGGAAGCCAGAGAGGTCCTGGCCAACCTTCGAGATCTCCCTACCGACCACGAACTGATCGAGCTGGAATTCCTCGAGATCAAGGCTCAATCACTTTTCGAGAAGCGAAGCTTGGCTGAGAGATTCCCCCATCTCCAAGCGGAGTCAGCGATGAACACTGTCAAACTCCAATTTGTTGCTATCGGCGCTCTCTTCAAGTCCAAGGCCATGTTCAAGCGTGTCATTGTCGCTACTGTGACCATGTTCTTCCAGCAGTGGACCGGCATCAACGCTGTAAGTCATTCTCGCATCAAGCCAAATCCAGTCAGCTAACGGAATCAAGGTCCTGTACTACGCCCCCCAGATCTTTGGACAACTTGGTCTCAGCAGCAACACCACCAGTCTCTTGGCCACTGGTGTCGTCGGTATCGTCATGTTTATCGCTACGGTCCCTGCAGTCTTGTGGATCGATCGACTCGGCCGTAAGCCTGTCTTGACTGTCGGCGCCATTGGTATGGGTGCATGCCATCTCATCATCGCCGTCATTCTTGCCAAGAACATCGACCAGTTCGAGACTCACAAGGCCGCTGGCTGGGCTGCTATCTGCATGGTTTGGCTGTTTGTCGTCCACTTTGGATGTGAGTTTAAGCCCGGATCTCTTTTGCGGACTGATGCTAATGATGCTAGACTCCTGGGGACCCTGTGCCTGGATCATTGTCGCCGAGGTTTGGCCTCTCAGCACACGACCTTATGGTACTTCGCTTGGTGCCTCCAGTAACTGGATGAACAACTTTATGTATGTGACGTGACGCAGTATTCATTGTGCTAGCTAACTTTGATCAGTGTCGGACAAGTTACACCAGACATGCTGGAAAACATTACATACGGAACCTATATCTTGTTTGGGTTGCTCACATGGATTGGTGCAGCCTTCATCTGGTTTATCGTTCCCGAGACCAAGCGACTGTCACTCGAAGAGATGGTACGTATCCCTCCGGCTTTAATAGCTCACCTGCTGACTGCTCTAGGACATCATCTTTGGATCTGAGGGAACTGCCCTTGCTGATAACGAGCGCATGGCTGAGATCAACCGTGAGATCGGCCTTGAGAGCATCATCTACCGTGATCAGTCTACTCATCACGCAGAGGTCCCGGAGAAGGAGATGCTGTGATTGTTTGAAGATGAGGCTGCGGATGCTGGCTGTCTATTGACTCTTATGATATTGGTGATGAGCTATTTGCACAGATTGAATATTCAGAGTAGCTATTGTCAATTGACTCTTTCACTCATATCTTGAACCTTTTCTGGCAGCTGTTGTTCATATACCTGGTTGACCGGTGTGATCAGCAAGGATAGGCGTGGCTTAGGTTATAGATCAATGGTCTGAATAATATTGCTCGCGAACCAGAAAAGAGCGATCCTCTTCAGCAAGCCAGATATTTACATTTGAGAATGTTCTGCATGGAGCGCGCAGCTGTGTCTGCCATTTATCGGCTCCGAACCCAGTCACTTATAGGTCGGCTAAACCTGAGGTTTTTTAAGTTCCTCACGGCCCTCTTCACTATATGAGAAACACCTCCCAATACACAAGTTCCCTCAATAAGATTCCCTTTTGGGATACTCTTCTCTGTTTTATTGGCTATTGGTGTTTAAGCCTAACGGCCATGTAGACTCCCACGGGTCTGAATGGCAAAAGAAGACGTGGCGCTCTAGACAACGAATTTCAGCCTTTTCGAGGCGACTGTGAAGATAGGTCGACTGCGAATTGCCAATGATGGACCTGGATAGCGGTTTCAGACCTGAAATGCCAGCTAGAGAATAGTAGTTCACTCTCGATAAAAACAAACTAAACAAGCACTAATCTGGGCCTACAATGATTCGAGATGACTCACTTCTATAAATTTCCTCTTCCGTCAAAGAACTGGGCCTGTACTCTACGCTAACTCCGCGCCGTGATATGCCTCGCCACTGTTTTTCGGAAACGAGACAGCGCCGGACCAATCAGAATGCCAGCATATAAGACAGGATCATCATTGTATCCGAGCGCGAAAACTCGTTTCTGGCGAGGACTCATGCAAAAATCTCAACTCTTGGGGTTCCCCTTTGAGTACATCTGAAATAATTATTATACAGGTGCAATCAAATATATCAATGGCTTAAATATCGAATGATAAACCTTTGTATTCTTGTTGAATTTCCTATTCGTTTTCTTTTCAACATTTATAATAGTAATCAATGGCTTTCCTCGCTTCTCCATTCGGCCTTGGTGTCTCAATAATAGCCATCCTGATCGGGGCTATCATCTTCGCTAAAAAGAAAGCAAAATTCCCAATTATCAACAAATATCCAAAAGACTACTTTCACCGTCAGGCGCATCACGAGTACAAGACAAACACAAGAAAGCTACTTCAAGACGGTGCAGCCAAGTATGGCGAGAATCCCTTCAATATCCTGGTCCCAAATGGTATAAAGACAATTCTGCCCCCTTCTTGTGTCGGCTGGGCCAAGAACAATAAGGACTTGGACCATCAGCAACTCGTCAGAGACGAATACTTTGCTAGCTACCCTGGCTTCGACGTTCAGCATGTCTTGCATCACCCAAATAGAATGGTCATCAACATGGTCCAGGGAAAGCTATCCAAAACGGACAAGACCTTGCCTGTCATGAATGAACACATCAAGACAGGCTTGTCAGAAATTTGGGGAGAATGCAAGTCTTGGAAGACGCTCAACTGGGAAGACGGGTCTACCGGAGTTATTTCTCGCGCAGCAGCTTCCATCTTTGTTGGACCGGAGCTCGCTGCTGACCCTGAGTGGCAAAAGGTCTCGAGGGCTTATGTTCTGGACTACTTTGGAGCTGTTGGAGAAATGCATTTGTGGCCATCGTGGTTGAGATGGTTGGTTGTCTGGTATCTCCCAGGACCCGCAGCCTGCCGTGCTGGTCTGAAGCGAGCGCGCGAGATGGTGAACAAGGTCGTACAGAAGAGACAACAAGAGGAACAGGAGGCTAAGTCCAAAGGGGAGGAGCCTCCTACTTACTACGATGCCCTCGCTTGGACACTTGAGTCGCCACTCGGAAACGAGTTTGAGCCTGCGGATGTTCAGCTTGCCCTGGCTATGGCCGCCCTGTTCACCACTTCAGAGCTCTTTCGACAGATCCTCGTCGAGATTGCTCGTCGCCCTGAGGTTGTTGAGCATTTGAGACGAGAGATTGAAGATGCTGCACCTGATCACGACTTCACGGCTGCCTCGCTCGTCAAGATGCAGTTGCTCGATAGCTTTATGAAAGAGACCCAAAGGCAAATCCCCTCACAAGGTAAGTACTTTCTCTGTGAGGGCTTTCACACTTATTAACTCATTTAAGTCATATTGGAGAGATTGGTCATCCGCGACACCCGGCTTCCTGATGGCACTCTTCTCGAAAAAGGAACTCACATTGCCATCGATTCTCGAGAGATGTACGACCCCGCCAAGTTTGAGAATCCCGAAGAGTTCAACGCCTGGCGCTTTTATAAACGCCGACAAGCTGGCGACAACACAAGCTTGTTCGTGCAGTCAAGCCCGGAGCATGCTCAATTCGGCATGGGCAAGCACCTGTGCCCTGGAAGGTTCTTTGCTGGCAGCGAGTTGAAGCTTTGCCTGGCTCACATCATACTCAAATATGACATTAGATTGAAGGACGGGTGCTTGGGCAAGCCTATGCCGTTTGGCTTTTTGAGTGCCACTGATCCATATACCCAGCTGGAAGTTCGAAGAAGATAGCACCGAACGTTATATGTGTATGCTTGATAGACTAGAAATTTATTTCAAGAATTAGGGAGTATTCTCACGGCTGGCAAGAACTGCATTCATGCAAGGTTAAAGGAGAATAATGAGACTTGTTTATAATTTTATTGCATCATGCCTGGGGCCTTGTCTCCTCTTCATGGCATAAAGAGCAAACACATAGCTACACCGAAAAGCCGATCACTTCTTATTCTTCTTCTTTCTCTTCTCCTTGCACTTTTCGCACTCCCTCCAGATCTCGGTATAAATTACCTCAATCGGTTTTCTGCACGATCCAACTATGCCTCCTGACTTGGCACACGGGGTTACGTTGTTCCTTGTAATTGTCAAACCTTTGCAATCTGGGCATAATACCAGCTCTCTGCATTGCACACAATTATGGTGACCTGTGATAAATGGCTAAATTTTAGATAGTAAAAGATTATTGTTCAGAATGGTGGATCTAATTATGTTGAAGTTTCTAAGTTGCAAGGCGACAGCGAAGCAATTTATAGTTGAGGCGACATGAACGGTTCTGTGACCAGCGATGTGTTGCTCACAGCCAGAAATAGCTTAAGATTACACCATTTTCTGAGCCTTGAATATGTGAAAATTGCTTCCTGGTGTCTGTCACCATGACTCACTGCAAGAATCTCACCGACAGTTCACAGTTGAGTAAAATATACACAGGAGCAAATAGACTGAAAGAGACCAGTTATTCAGCCTCGCACTTCGCGATGTCACGCTTCTTTATGTCACTGGCATACTACAATAATGCCGGTTGCTTGCACCGTAATAAAGGCTACAGATTTCGTTTATTAAGCTAATCTAAGCTTCTAAATACCGCAAGGCATTACTGTATTTCCCATATCCAAACTCCAGTAAATCTTTCCCCAACATATAAGTAAACAACCTTCACATCCTCTTACTTCTACTTCTACATTTAGAACACAACGTTCTAGTTGTCTCAACCCTCCTCCCGCGTCTGCCACATCGTCCAAAGAAGCCTCGAGACTGGGGACAACAGTTGTCAGAGAATCGCTGGGTAAGAAGGATGTCACAGACCAGGCAGACGGTTTGGTATGTTATTTCTATGCACATGATCTTGAATTGGGTTGGTAACAGGATATTAGCTTGGTTAATTGTGATACAGATTGATAGATACAGTATTGAACACCTAGCTGTCACTTGTTCAGAAGAGATAAGAGACAAGAATTCGCTTCCAATTTATAGTCTAAGATATTAAAGCTTAGAAGACTGGCTCGTGATCTTCGATATGAGGCCAAGTTGATCTACTAAGATGGTGACTTCATTCAATCACAGCACACAGCAAATATTATTCACACAACTCAGTCCTCGAAGGAGCCTCAGCAATCGACTTGATGATTTGGTTAAAGCGATGTCTTGTTTGATCGTGAGAAGGGAACGTCCTTACCAATTTATATTGGCCAACTACGCAATTTAAAGGCGATGTTCAAAAATGCCTGGGATGTAATATATACAAGTCGAAGGAGATTGCGAAAAGGCATCAGATGACCGATTTAACAATTCAAGCAGTGAATAGTTAATTACAAATATGAAAGATACAGTTACAGTAGCAGTCGACCAAAGACATATACAAGATGCCACTTAGTGAATGAGGCCGTCATTCTTTACCTGCTCGAGGTACTTGAAATAGCTCGCAGTGCTGTTTCGTCGAAGTTGTTTGCCATACTTGATGAAGACAAAGGCAAGAGAGAACTGCGCCATTGCAACAAAGGCAGCGACAAGAAAAGCGTTTTGATAGCCCATTCCTGTAACCCAGGGAGTGACACTGATAAAGGTTAGTAGATGAAATCTTGAAGGATGGTGAGTCACTTACCCGTAGCCAATGGCAAAGCTCATAGTGTTGCGAATCACAATGATTGTGACAATAGCGTCAGAGCCAAGCTCGGTGTAGCAGTCGATGCAGTAGCTGAGAGGGAGCTGACAGCCTGCAGTGATTGCAGAACCTAAGATTCCTAAGGCGATCAAGAGTCCTGACCAGTGAATCTGATGAGCAGCTCCGACGCCCCAGAGTAGTAGTCCACCTGGTACGAGTAGGCCCAGAACAGCATAAAGCCAGAGGCGGTATTCAGGCTCGCGGATACCGTTGTTACGGCGCGTCATGTAGAGGACGAACTTGTCTCCAATCGGGCCCGAGAAGAATGACCTGCTTCCTGTTAGCTTATGTATCATTGGAGTGAAAGCCCGGACAAGACCTACCCAATAAAGACTCCAATGACTGTAGCTATGTAGCAGAGACCAACAGAGCTTGCTTTGAATGAATATGGAGGAGCCGAGAGAATGATCGATGCTGTACCATTGAGGACATTGAAGTAGCAGACAACAGCGCCGTACATGAAGCCACAGAACACAACAATAGGCAAGGAGAAGTATTTGAAGGGTCGAATGAGCATTCCTTTCAAGGGAACGCTGTCTTGAATATGCTCGCTTCGGAAGATCTTCATCTTGTCGAGGAATGTCTTGGATGAGGGGAGAACGGTGCCGTTGACTACATCTACATTTGAAGTAGTCTGCGACTCTAGTTCTTTCTTACCATCGGTAGGAGACTCGGTCGGTTTGTTTACATCGACAGGATCGTTGAGATGGAGTGGGGTGGCCTTTCGGTTGTACTTGGTTTCCTCCATGAAGAACAGGCAAATGACGAATGCGATCGCGTTGAAGATGGCGCACCAGTGCTACTCTAGAGTCAGTCGAGGAACCTCTTATCAGTGTTTGTTACTCACGAGAACCCATTCCCAACCTTGTCCGTCGTTTATGAAGCCAGAGATGACAGGTGCAACAAAGTTTGAGCCTCCAAGGAACAAAGCGTAGTAAGCGATATATGTGCCTCTCTCGTGCGCAAAGTACTGCATCGGTCAGTGAGATTGAGAGAAGCAAGGGGAGTAAGATAGCAACTTACGACATCTGATACGGAGATTTCGCAGAGCGACTCGATGGGAGCACCAAAGGCCCCTTGGAGGAGCTTGTTGGCGATCCATTGGCCATTTGTGGTTGCATGAGGGGCCCAGATCATCATTCCCTGGTGACTGTGAGTATGGCAGAAACACGCGAGAGGTGATAGACTTACAGTTGTTCCCAGTAAGGACAAAAGGTACACAGGGCGTTTGCCGAACTTCTGTGCCAGAGGCTGCCAGATGAGACATCCCCAGCCAAAGGTCAAGAACATGTATCCAGTTCCAGAGTTCAGATCACCGACAGTAAGGCCGGTGGCAGCTGAAATTGGAACAAGAACGGAGTAGATCGCGGCCGAAGCAATACCAACGGCAAGGCAGTATCTATTCATCACAGAGGTTAAGTACTTATTTCGCAAGAGTCGGTGGTGAGTCGGTGGCTTGACATACGCGCATAGAGTCGCCATGAGTAGAGTCTTTCTCCATCGACTCCAGTTCAAGGGATCATCTGGATCATCAGAGGGTGTTGGTACGAGAACGATATCCCGATGACCTTGAGCATGGCGAGTATCCAAGGTGCCATCAAAGTCAACGAGGAGGACTGTTCCAGGAACAAAGTCCGATACGGGTTGGGGCGAATTGTCGTCTGAGCCCATGTTGAAGTATACAAGAGATGGAAAAGATTGGTCAATTCGTTGTTGAGGACGAGGTCTATGGGTCTGTGAGGATCTGTTGCTGGCGAACAGACCAGGGATTATATACGTGAAATGAAGGGATACCAAATTCCCGGAACGCGATAACACCTTTCAACCTAGCGCCAGCTGCTAGATCGCAATCTCCCCATCGCCCAGAAAGTCTAGATTGCACTTCAAACGTCAGCTCGTTCCATATCAAGGCTGATCACGATATCATCTAATCCGGGGGTGGATCTAGGCCTGCGGGGTTACAGCCAATAGTCGATATTTACGAGTTTTAGCTTATCTTTCAGTTTGGCGAACCTTGAACCGATTCGATCGTGGGACCATGCCTTGACCAATCATTGACTTTTGCGAGGATCCTACCAATAGATATCATTACCGAATGATAGGTTATCTCGAAAGGGGGTTTTAGTAAAGGCATTTCGCTTGTCTCTAATATGCATCATATGATACTGGGCTAGAGGCCGAAGAAGATTGACTGAGTCCTGCCCGGCAATGGTATCCGGGCTCATAGTATGAATATAAAGATCCGTTTAGAGCCAAGCTCTATCTAATCATCATCCCTCATATCTCTGCCTCTACTATCTTTCCATCATACACCATGGCCTCTGTTGTTGAATCTCTTCCTCAGGGACTTGTCTACCATTCTCAGCCCCAAAAGTCCGCAGGGATTTCTGTCCTCGCCGATTGGGAGATCCAAGCTGAGAAATGCCGTAAAGTCCTTCGAGACTCTCTCAACCCAGCTTGGCTTCTACCATCTGGTCAACTCCCCCCTGCTGACCAGCTCAATGTCTCTACTTTCATTGAGACATGCGGCTTCCTCTCAGCACGAGAGCTGGAGATCACAGCTACCAGCGCAACGAAACTGGTGGAGCAAATGGCCTCTGGCTCTCTGACGGCTGTTGAGACTGTCACTGCTTTTCTCAAGAGAGCTCATATTGCACATCAACTTACCAACTTTGCAACCGAGTTCATGAGCGCCGATGCACTCGAAGCCGCCGCTGAACTCGATGCCCACTTCGAAGCAACTGGCAAGATCAAGGGGCCCTTGCACGGTATCCCAATCTCGACCAAGGAGCATATTGAACACAAGGGACGGATTGCTCATTCGGCTTACGTCGCCCTTATTGACAACATTGCCGAAGAAGACGCCTTGATTGTACAGTGTTGCAAAAAGGCTGGAGCAATATTCCATGTACGAACCAACGAGCCTCAAAGCGTAATGGTTAGTCAGTCTTCACCTGTTCGATGATCTGTTGCTGACGATTTAGCACATTGACTGTTCCAATCCAATCTACGGCACGACCGTGAACCCACACAACCGAACATTAACATGCGGCGGCTCGAGTGGAGGAGAAGGCGCTTCATTGGGACTCCGATGTGCAGCTTTGGGTATTGGTACCGACCTAGGAGGTTCTGTTAGAGTACCCGCCGCCTTTTGCGGCGCATATGGACTGAGGACTACAGCACTACGCAACCCGTACAAAGGCGTGTGTCTCCCTGGTTCTGGGCAAGAGAGCATCCGATGCGTTATCTCACCTCTAGCCAACACTGCAGAAGACCTTGGCCTGTTCCAGAAGGCTGTTCTTGATCAGGAACCCTGGGAGATTGAGACATCGCTGGTACCTCAGCCTTGGAAGCAGACCAGTTCGCTAAAGCCTGGTAACTTTACGATTGGAGTTATGTGGGAGGATGGGTGAGTTCTCTCTTCCTTATCGTGTCCATCAGCTAGCTAACTGTTGTCGCAGCCTTGTCCGACCCCATCCCCCAGTCCTTCGCGCGCTTCGATACGCCGTTGAGAAGCTCAAGACAGCAGGCATCACTGTAGTTGACTTTGAGCCATATAACCACCAAGATGGAATGGAAATTGTGTCAAAACTGTACTTTCCTGAATGTGCTGTAACACAGAAGGAACTCTTGGAAAAGGGAGGAGAGCCTATTGCGCCGCTGTCGGACTATATCTTTAACTTTTCTCCGCCACGGCCCCTTACTATAGAGGAGAACTGGGCTTTCAATGTCAAAAGAGACACTTTTCGAGAACAGTAAGTATACGATACCCTCTAGATTGACCTAGCTGACTTCTTCAGGTACCATAAGATCATGAAGGATCGGGGTGTTGACTTCATCCTCTGTCCTGTCTACGTCGGGCCTGCGGCAAAGTTGGGCGACGGTCATTACATTTCATACACGGCCATCTGGAATCTCCTCGATCAGCCAGCCATCACATTCCCGACCGGACTAAAAGTTGAGTCAACCGATACACCATACTCTGACTTTAAACCCCGGTCGGCTGAAGAGGAAAGAGAGTACAACAAGTGTAAGACATGCTGCTGGCAACGTTGCTGGATTGATGCTAATGCAAGAGTAGACTCGCCAGAAGAGTACGTCGAAGCACCTTTGGCGTTGCAAATTGTTGGTAAACACTTCCGCGATGAAGACACGGTCGCTGCTACAGAGTTGGTGTCAAAGATTGTCCGGGTATGAACAGGTTGAAGGCTGAAGATAGAACTGAGGAACTGCAAATTCAAGCTTTTCGTACTCTTAATGAACCACACTATTTCAAACTCATCAAAACCACTAAAGAGTAAAGATCGATACCATTAACAGAGGATGGGAGGCTTGTGACAATTGTACTGTACCTATCCGTGTCGGCCATTGGAGTCCATTAGCTTAGGGGACTAGCGAGAGACACTGGACAAGGCCAAAAGCGCTAGCGCCAGGTCTGCTCTTGTCGCCTGTAGCAACTTAAAACCCCGACTTCCCCGCTACTGATTTGACCCTGGTACCATAACTAACTTCTCCGCTTTCAACTCCATGCATAACGGTTCGCCTTTCAGATACCCATGAGAACATCACCGCCCGTTTGACAATGCCAGATGCCAAACTACGAGCCAAAACTGGCTGCGTTACATGTTAGTACAGAGACATTGGGTCCATGTTTCTACTGACCATTCATAGGCAGACAACGACGAGTCAAATGTGACGAAGCGAAGCCATCATGTCGTAACTGCTCTCGCTTTGACCGCATCTGTTCGTGGCCCAAAGCCACCGATATGGCTGATAAAAGGCATCGTCGACGACGTGCAACTCCCGATTCTTCGTCTCCCGCTAGTGAAGGCAGCTCCCCACCCAAGACTGGCGAGCGGTCAAACGATATCGTCCCGATTCTGAATACCAGGACGTCACTTACTACTATCAACCATCCACTTTGCGAAACGGAAATAGAATTTGAGTTGGTGCATCACTTTTACAGCTTCCACTTCAACTCTCTCACGCTTCCAACTAAGGACATGTCGTATTTCTCTCAATGCCAGTCAGACCTTATGGACATGATGTCACACAACAAAACCGTCAAATATGCTATATTGGCCAACTGTGCTTCAAACAAACATGCACTGATGAACAAAGATCGATATCGCCTTATAGCCTTGCGGTATTACACAGAAGCTATGAGTGGGCTGAACCAGGAACTTGTGGACTTTTGTCCCTCAGATGCCTATCGGCATTCGTGTTTACTAACGGTTGCCTCATACCTGTACGTTTATAATGTATGTACTCAATCATCTTGCTGTCCCATGTAACACTGGCTAACGTGACCCACACCCAGTTCTGGAGTCTCGATGTAATGTCAGACCCAAGGCCTCACGTTGTCGGGGCTGTGAAGCTGCTCAGCTTGAGGAACCGAGACAAAAGCTCATTAAAGCCATTTATCCAAAGCTGGGACAGGGCAAATGTTGAAAGCGTGCTGTATCAAGGCTTCTTATTATCTATCAGAAGGCCTTTCAGACCCGAGTTTCGACTAGACTCAGAATTCATCACGCATGCTGAAGATTTGCTGCGCTCATACGATGACGCAAATCCATCTTCAGCAAAGCCAAACATCGTTCTCGGAGTACCTACGTCCCTGTATCGACTTATACTACGGATAATCGACTCATATAATATTCCTCGGAGTAGTCTTTCCAATCACATAAAGGGCGTGAAGGCGGAACTGCAGTACTGGGAGCAGTTGTTATTTGATGACGAAAACAGCCAGAATGTTCAAAATGGAGATTCTAGCTTCAACGACTTGATGATCATCGCAACCTCTCTCCTCCTTGATCTCATCACCGAAGCACTGACGACAATTGATGATACAATCTGTCCGGGATCCTCGGCTGGAGAAGGAGATGGGAAGCCCTGGAGATGGCAACTCGATTTGGCCATGAATATTCTCCAATGCCCCGAGGAACATCAAAAATGGAGCGGTTGTTATTTAGGAGCATGGCCATTGCTAATCCTTGGGTACGGTGCTAGGTCATTGGAAGAGATTACGCTGGTGAAGGAGGTCTTGACAAGGATGCAGCAACGCATAGGATATGGCGAGGTTCAGAGGATACGGGACGAATTGGACGAGATAACCAATTACAAGGATAGAGATGCTTGCCTACGTCAGGAAATCCTCGGTTAAGCTTATCTTCCCGGGGTATCTTCCAGATGCGTAGTGCTTATCTCCAGCTGGAGTTAATGTGCTGGAATCAATTGAAGCCTATGATATCTCTTATAAACTCCTAATGCACTATTCCTAATTATAACTTGTGCACTTGTGAGATCTCTTACGGACTTGTGTATCATTGGCAAAATAAATCTTGTATGTTGTATTGATCTATTATGCCTAGAGGTGCTGCGATATTGTATCAAGATATATAGTAGAACAGAAGCAATCATCTTAGCTGTCTGTCGGCCAATACCCATAGACGGCAGAGTATCTTTCTCAGTGTATGAAGTCTAAGCAGTAACGCTCGTGGTGTCCTCTTCCTCACTTGCGCCTGGTGGGGGAGGTCCACCAGGTCCACCAGGACCGCCGCCTCCAAAGTCAGGGTTGGTGTGGCCACCATCCTCATATCTAAAGACTGCGGGTGTAACCTTCTCAGTGGTAGTGATGTTGATGCCATAAGCCAGCCAACCGAAAACACCCTCAGCAACTGTGTCACCAAGAAGGGTCCACTCGACGACAGGGTCGTAGTCCTGGTTGGCAGCCTGAGCTAGAATACCGTCACCAGCGTTTGTGGTCTGAGCCTGCGTGTTGGTGTTGTAAGGAGCAAGGGCTTCAACTTCCTCGATCAGGTCCTGGTCGAAGTAGGTCTGGCCAATGTGGCTGCTGTAGATGACGTTTCCAAGTGTCTTGTTCTGGTATAGAGTAGCGTTTGCATGAGCCAAGAGATGAATATGCGTCGTGCGACCGACATAATGACCTGGGAAGAGGGTCTCAAACTGGGCGACGCCATCTTCATCAGTTGGCTGGATGCCTCGGCCAAAGGTCTTGTCGATGTTGGTCTTGTCGGCAAAGTTTCCGTTGCCCTGGTTATTCACGCCGCCGTAAACACCAGTTGAGTTGCAGTGCCAGATCTCGAGATATAGCTCTGGTACAGGTTCACAAGTGGCTACGTTGATGATTTGGTAGTCGAGAATAAGGTCAACGCCCTCCTGGTCCTCCTTCAGATCGCGTCGGATAGACTCGCCACTGACGTCTTGTAATTGTTAGCTGATATCTTTTGGATAGCTGACTAGACTCACAGTATGGACCGAGAGTGACCTCGGGGGTAAGCACGCATGAGTTCTGGCCTGCGAAGAGGACCTCGGCTGGAGTGTTGGGTGTATAACCGAGATCGGTCTTGTTGTGGTCTGTGTTGAGAACGTCCTCAAGATCGCGCTTCTTGATACCACCTGAGACAAGGCACATTAGAAAGAGATAAGATATGTATTCAGTATCACTTACGCTTCTGGCGGTGCTCCTCGATCAAGGCAGAACGACGCTTGATGTTACGCTCGGTGACACCTCTGGCCTTCAGGATTTCGGCACAGTGACGGAGGGACAGTCTTTCAGCACTGGCCTCAAAAGAGCGACGCGTCTCAAGCTCATCGTGGTGATCTTCACCTGGATGGGCCACGGCCAAAGCGGCCAATGCCAAAGAAATTGAAGCAGAAAGATGCATGATAACAGCACAGACAAAGACAGTGGTGTGAGCGAGGTTGAATGTCGGTGAACAAAGCGAGAAATCCAGCTCCTTTTATGCCTTTTCAGACGGACTATCACATCTCCGTCAGTCCTCCAGGTCGCATCACACCGGTATCCCACCATTGCAAATCAATCACGTCTTTATCCCGTCCGTCTTGGCAATGTCACATCGAAAAAGTTCCGTAATGCGAAAAATGGCCGTAGTTGGCAGGAGGATCCATTCCGAATGTATTATGCTTAAAGGAGCGTCATGGTTGCAACGTGACGTTGGTAAATAGTATTCTCTGATTCGTTGTGATATGCGTGCGCCAACGTAGATCATCGGGATGTGGGCAAACATGCCTTATGAGGTCCACAGGCGGCTCGGAACCGACTCGTTAAAGAAGGTCAAAGAGCACAGTTGTATGCCGACCCATGTCTTTAACGTTTCGGATATACAGACTTTTCAAGGCTCGGCGGCACTACGGCCGGGGCCGCGATCGACAAGTTATGTCACCGTTTAGGCAACCATACAAGATCACCACTGACACATGATTTCTTTGAGATTCAAGATAGGTGCTAAAATGAGAGAGTTACAATCTAAGTAATCTACCGTGATAGGAGGGTATTCCGAGATGAGGTAGGCTTTGTTTAATTGGTGGAAAATGCGGGGTTCAAATGACCTAACCTCTAAACTTGATAGGCAACAGTTTCTCTGTAGGCAGACGGCTCGTTGTTTCGCCATGGTGCCTAGATAAATACAGACTCTACCAATGCTTACCGTTTGAGACTTCGCATCAATGTGTAGGGCCTTTGAGCAATCAATATGGCGAACTCTCCTACCTTACATTCGACTCTCTCCGTCGTCTCGGGCCAGCTTTGCTTCGGCTCCTTGCACAACATTTGGTTCGGCTCCTCTGCTCCCACTCAAGGTCTCCTGGTTGCTCCGCCGCACCCCAGTGGCACAGTCCAAGCTCACAGTATTAACTACAACATTTGCGCGCAAAACGGGATATGGAATGTCTACAAGCTTGTTATCTCTGAGACGAGCGATGCAGTAGCATGGTTCGTGGCCCACGCGGACATTGACCCCAGACAGGAAGTCGATAAGATCCTCCGCATATCTGGCTCTCCTTACGAACCAGATCATGGAAGTACGATGAACAACGACATCACTTCTCAGGCGGGAGTCTTTGTGGTCAATCGTTATGACTGGGGCTACTACAACGAACGTTGCTTGGATGAGATTGGTGAGGGTCAGGAAGAAGGCGATGATGATGTGCTGGCAAACTCCAACTCTCTTGGTCTTGTTGACCGCTCTGTTGCGCAAGAGCTGGTCCAGAGATGGAAGAGCCAACGACCAAGCCTGCGAGACAGCGCAGAGTCTGGAGTCTGGCTGTATATTCCCCATGGAGAATACATGTTTGGCCGCTTTGGGTTCGATGATACGCGCACCGCCGCAAGATCGTTCCTGTTTTTCTCCGCAGGTACCGAATTCACAAGGACAAGTTTCTTGGGAATTCCAGGAACACTGCGAGAGTATACGACGCCCCAAGAGAGGTTTGAGCGCCAACTCCGCGAAGGAGTCGGCTTCTCGGGAATGGAGATTGTCAAAGACATGATCTTCTACCAACATGTTTCCCCACCGCCGGTGTCTGAGTTGCTTGGCCTATACCACCCAAGCGACTATCTCCTGAGAAAACAAGAGTTTGAAGCTTTGCGAAGTTATTGCGAAGAACAGGCCTCCAGTAGCGGCATGGGACCAACTATCCATGGGTTCATCGATCCATGGAAGCAACTGCTATTCGATCTCATAAACGAGATGACCCTCAGTTATCTCGAGCATTTCATCCTGCCTCATCTTGGAGGTGATGACGTTGCAGAAATAGCCGAGATATTGTTCCCAGATTATGAGAAGAAAATTAGGCCTATCAGTCTAGACGTTGCTTCATATCGGCATTTCACTGAGCCGGACCAAGACCCGATTCCAGACTTTAATGAATCTCACGTGTGCGTTTTGATCCGGCAATTCCTTGAGTCTCGCAGCCAGGATAAGCCCATGGTCTTTAGAGACAATGCTATAAAAGGAATCTGTCGGGTACTGGGCTACATAGTTACTGAGGTATTCGAGTTGGCCAACGGTGTGGCTACTGATTCCCAACATAACAAGATCCTTCCATGCCATGTTCGACAGGCTGTTTTGCTTGATGAAGATATTCTTCGCCTGGTATGTTTTTCTAAAGCCCTGTGGGAAGGGAGTATGTAGGTAAAGATTGAGATAGTAAATAGATATACTTCTTAAGGCCCAGAAGACTCTCGTAAGTACTGTGGTTGCGATGTAAGAGCTCGAAACTACTAGCGCAGAGGATGATAAGGCGGAGAAGCACTTGGAATTGGTGGATTAGCTGAATCTCTTGTTGACGTCATTTGTTGCCCAGTAAAACATTAATGCTTATCATATGGTTCACAAGTCAGCTGACTCAAGCACAAGATTGACAGTTTGGAATTATGCATGTCAGCAACTCATTTCAGCTAAACAACCAAAAACCATCAACTCAATAAGTCTATTGAGTCCAGAATATTGCGCCCGCAAGGTATTTCTTTTGATCTCCATCATGAAGCTTATCGTTGTTGGCGCTACAGGCTACATCGGCGCGGGGATCCTTCGTCAAGCCCTTGCACGCTCAGACGTCACCAGCGTTGTCGCTGTGACCCGCCGACCTCTCGAACAAACCGCCACGAAACTCCAAAACGTCATTGTGCCGGACTATGGTGCCTACTCGCCTGCGGCAAAAGAAGCTTTTGCCGGCGCAGGCGCATGTATTTGGACAGTGGGCGTGACACCCTCTCACGCATTTCGAATGGACCCTGAAGAGGTGCGCAAGGTTTGCCAGGATTATACCATGCTCGGCCTTGAAGCCATGCGCTCGTCCGGCCTTGCACGACCGTTTCGAGTGGCGTATCTCAGCGCGGTTGCAGTTCCGCGGGATATCAATAAGACTATGTGGTTTGCTCCCAAGTTTAGACGGATACGGGTAAGATGATTACTGGGTTTTATGTTTAAAGTATTTGTTTTAATTGCTAACATGCGTGGATCCTAGGGTACAGCAGAAAACCAAGTTGTAGAATTTGCAAAGGCCAGCGATGGTGCCGTAGAAGCGGTGATAGCTAAACCTGGTCATGTCCCTGTCCAGGGTGGTATATTGGTCACTGCCCTTACAGCCATCTCTCGACCTCTAGGTATTGGCGTCACGGAGGCCGTGGTTTTGGATGATCTGGCTATTGCTTTGGTTGACCAGGTTGTTCACGGAATTGAAAAGGATCCGCTGTGGCCAGCAGACTTGAACCGCTTGGCGCAACAAGTTAAGGATAAGAAGGGTCTTAAGTAAAGTGTTCGACTGGAAAGATGGAGCGTATACCAAATGCTTGTGATATTACGGCAAGAGCCGAATAACTATTTGTACTTTGTCTGAAGCTCCTTGGCAGCCTCAATTGCTTGCTTTGCCTGCTCTGTATACTTCTTCTGGTTTTCTTGTTGCAGGCTGAATGTTTGCTGAAACTTCTCAACCATGAACGGCTTCAAGACTGTCTTCTTTGCCGTAGTGTAGTCATAGATGGCAGTGTCGTCGATACATCGTGCTGCCAAGCGGCGGTATTGTTCTGATAGAATCCAAGCTTCCATCTTGAGTGACGTTGACTCATTGGTTGGAGCTTCAGCCAGCTTATACAATACAGTGATATGGTCTGGGAACTCAAGAGGCTATAGAAAAGCGGTTGGTCAGTCTTGGTGATGCTGGGGTTGACAGGGGAGTTGTACAAATTTGTATTCCGTTGTAATGCTTTTGAGAATAAGGCCAAGGCTACGTGGTGTCACCAGATCATCCCATTGAGCCTTGTGGTGCTCTGCTGCATCTAAGCTGTGCTGCCGGATGAAATGCACCCGTCCGGTTTCGACATAGCGGTTATACATCACATTGTTGACATGGCCTATGATACATCAGATTGATCAGATCTCCCAAGTATTAGAAGAAGTTGTGTTACTTACCCTAAAAATATTAGATTTAGTCCTAAAAAAAATGCAGCGAAAGAGATCGACTTACCATGCTATCCTAAACGATGAGAATTGTTAGGAATCATGCACATATCACTGATAAGGAACAGCTTACCATGTCACCCCAAAGGAGCTGGTGGTTATCGAGACCTCGCCATTTCTTATCGGTGAGGAACCCCTGCTGCCCTGCCAAGAGTTGCAGCCAATTTTGGTCATTCGACACCAATTGTCTCTTTGCTTCTTCAACGCAGCTGGATGGGTAGCTATCGCTAGTGAATTTCTTCAACTGAGCTTGTAGATCAGCGAACCACCGAGAGGGAAACGCGGGCAGATCATTGTTCAATTGGGCCTGGCCGGATTGTAAACGAAGTTGTGAGATCGAAGCTTTTGATCCAATGCTAACTGGTCGCTTGAGAAGCCGCAGAGACATGATGCGAGTGCAGGGAACTTGGGTTGAGTGATGGAAATAGTGACCGTGGAAACGGGCTCGGTTGTCCCAAAATAATAGTTCCGATAGTCGGTGGCCTCGGTATTCGGCGAAGATTCTCCGCGGCCCGGAAGATTTAGGCCTGCGTAAGCCGAGTTCAGATAAAACCGGCTGACCCGCAAACCGAGCATTACCCTAAAGTTAAAAGAGAGGAGAAAATTCAGCTTTTAATAAATATAATATTAATAAGAGAACCGGCTGTTTTTAATTTCATCTCTAGTGTCTAGAGGAGTCAATTTAGAAGAGGTCATTCCTTTAATTACCTACTGTAATTTACCTTTTTTTCATTAGAAATACTGCCATTATCGATTTAACCGCGACAGGACAGGACAAAGCAAAAGCGAAAATAAGCAATTTCTAGTATTATTTAACTACAACGACTACAGTTTACAACTTATCAGCAACACTTGCACAAGAAATTTTCAATTATTATGACTTTACCAAGTTAAACAGCACTATTCACTACTCTATGCAAGACATACATGGCTTGCAGTGCGTGTCTTTTTATCAAGCGTGTTATACAGAGCACCGCGATCGTGCTTATCAGTCACTTCGTTGATAATACCGAATGATATCATTTTACTGTCATGGATGTTGAACTGTATCTGTTCATTTAGCTGCATACCCACGCACAGAGCAACCTCAGCGGGAACTAACATGCGTCTTAAGGCTATAGCAAATCCTTTAATAATGGCACCATCCCTTTGTCTTGCCAGGCGCGTAGAACCCTGAACGAACGGACATAACCGCTTATGTAGTATTCCAGGCCTCGTATTTTCATCCACAAACAGCTTGGCAGCGGCTTGGCGTGGGTCCGAGAGCCTGCTTTGGCTTAGTTTTGCTTAGGTTAGTGTCAGGTACCGGTAGCTCCACCAGATAGGGGAGAATTGACAGGGCAGGGAACGAGATGTGAACGATATTTCCATCCATACAGCCAGGGTTTCTCGGTCTAAACATAGCCACAGCTGAGATCGCGGTTGCATGGTTCATTGAGGGAACTTTTTAAGCTTGAAACATAAAAGCTTTGCCTGGTCTGCTTTTATTTTGCTAGCTTCAGACAGGACCATTCCTCTCTGCACTCGCTATCTGAGTCTTTCTTTCGTTTTTTTCCTATTTCGACATTTGTTTCATTCAGACACTCGTTAATTGCTGAATCGTCATTCGTTTTCTTTTCGTGGTTCTCGATAATCTAATAATTACACAATCCGATTAATAATTTTTCGCTGACTCGACAACTACAACAATCACTCGATATCGATATCATACTTCAAATATCCGACTGAACCAAACATGGTTCAACTTCCGTTCGTGGCTCTAGCAGCCCTACTAATTACTCCATTCACTTCTGCTGCTCTCACGCAGTGCCCGTCCAAAGAAGCATCATGGACCTCCAAGACCGGCACCGAGTACACCATTTGCCGCAATACCGATTATCGATACGGTGGAGGCAGTCTCAAGGTCGCTCGGGACATCAAGTCTACCAATGCCTGTGCCGAAATCTGCAGCAAGGACCCGCGATGCGTCAAAGCTGTATACGATAAGCGAAACCGCATCTGCCACGTCAAGGACAATGCCAACGAGGCCAAGATGAACTGGGCGTCGGATGCCAAGTTCGACACCATCCGAGTCAAGAACGTCAACGAGGGAGTCTTCATCTCTCGTTGCCCCAACCCAACCAACAACTACCGCGCCAAGGGCGGCAAGACTTTCAACGTCTGCCACAACAGCGACTATGTCGGCCCGACTGCCCGAATGACCAAGAACTGCGCCTCTCTTGCTGCGTGCGCTGATATCTGCTCTGGTATCAAGACATGCAAGAAAGCCGTTTACGACAAGCAGGATAAGGTCTGCCACATCAAAGAGACTGAGCCCAAGGCTTCGCTCTTTTGGGTGCAGAGCAAGCGATACAGCGTTGTTCACTCCCCAGTCGAGTCCAAGCCTGCGACCCAGGGCAAGTGGTCTGATCTAATCCGTCTTCCTGTCATTCCTGTTGCCGCCTATGTTGTTCCCCAATTCCCTCAATCGCAACAACTTCTCTTCTTCTCTTCTTGGGGCGCTGACGCCTTTGGTGGTGCCTCTGGCCGTACCCAATTTGGAGTTCTCGATCTACCTTCTGGTGCCGTTGGACAGCGTGAGGTTGCCGATACTCACCACGACATGTTCTGCCCTGGAATGAGTCAACTCGCTGATGGCCGCATCTTGATTCAGGGCGGTTCCGATGCCGAGGCCGTGACACTCTACAACCCCAAGACCAACTCTTTCACCCGAGGACCTGACATGAAGATGCCTCGTGGCTACCAGACTTCCACCATCCTGTCTGATGGACGAGTCTTCACCATTGGAGGAGCTTACTCCGGTCCCCGCCAGGGAAAGAATGGTGAGGTCTACGATCCCAAGGCCAACAAGTGGACCATGTTGCCTGGAGCCGATGTCAAGCCTATGCTCACCAAGGATCGGGAGGGTATCTGGCGTGAGGATAACCACGCTTGGCTCTTTGGTTGGAAGGACGGCAGTGTCTTCCAAGCTGGCCCCAGTAAGGAACAGCATTGGTATGGCACCAAGCAAAAGGGTTCGATTGTCAAGTCTGGCAAGAGAGATAACGCTGATGCTATGTGCGGTATCTTTGTCATGTACGATGCCGTTGCCGGTAAGATTCTGTCAGCTGGTGGTGCCCAGGACTATACCGCAAGCGATGCCAACAAGCGTGCTCATATCACCACTATTGGAGCTCCTTACAAGCCAGCTTCCGTCAAGCGTGCTGCCGATATGGCCTTCCCTCGTGGCTTCGGTAACGCTGTCGTTCTTCCTGATGGGACTGTTCTTGTGACTGGAGGTCAACGTAAGGCAATGGTCTTCACCAACACTGATGGTATCCTGGTCCCCGAGCTCTACAATCCTGCCACCAACAAGTGGACCCAGCTTGCGCCTCACGCTGTTCCCCGCAACTACCACTCTGTCTCTATCCTGTTGCCTGATGCTACGGTTTTCATCGGTGGTGGCGGTCTCTGCTATGTTGCCAAGATTGGTGGTTCGACTGCTGGCTGCGACAAGACAGCTGACCATGCCGATGGAGAGATCTTCCAGCCTCCTTACCTGTTCAACAAGGATGGTTCCATTGCTAAGCGTCCCATCATCCAGAACCTTGCCCAGAAGCCTGTCAAAGCGGGTAGCACTCTCAAGTTCAATGTCACCAACACTTCCGGCAAGGTCAAGATGTCTCTTGTTCGCATGGGAAGCGCTACACATTCCGTCAACAGTGACCAGAGGCGTGTGCCTCTCACCGACTTCCAGGTCAAGGGCAACCAGTACACTGTCAAGCTACCTAAGGACAGTGGCATCCTTCTGCCTGGCTATTACTATCTTTTTGTCATGTCGCCGCAGGGCACTCCTAGCATGTCAAAGACAGTTCAGATTGCATTGTAATTAGCAAGCGGAATGTAGCATTCCCTTTTCAGGATAGAAACCTCCATGGCGCTACAATGAACTGTGTTTTGCACTCATGATAGACTATAACTATAATAAACAAGCTACAAACCCTGTATCTGTATTATCTGTATTATCTTTATGCCTTTACTGGCACTTCCATTTCAATGCAGGGAATACCCCGCCCATAACTGAAGTGACATCTACGACACAAATAGACTTATTTTATAGCAAGCAGTACTGTATTCCAGGACTTTAAAACTTGCTCATACGCTCTTTGCCTTTTTTTCAATCTATTTCCATCTTATGTATAGGCGTCTAAGTATGTGTATGTGCTATGGGCCTTATGAAGCACTGGCAGATAAGGTATTGTATGTTAAGACGGGGAGCCCAATTACGATACAAACCCTACCAGTTCGCCAATTGCAGCCCGTTGCCTGATTGCCCCTAAGATAAAACAGGCGTCCCCCTCCCATAAATTGCTTCGTCGCCACCTTCTTATCCATCTCTCTACTGAAGCGAATCCATAGTTGTCCTTCTCCCTATGGTTCGGTCTTACATTTAATTAACCTCATTATCCTTTCTTATCGCATCTGTTGATATCTAGGTTTTCTCTAGCTTGATCATCGTAGGGAACAACCCTTCCTTAGACTTTGTGCCATGTTGACATAAACCAGCCCCGAAATGAGCGAACCTGGTATCATGCACCCAGTCGAGGAGCTATTCCTTGACATCTCCATTCATGAAGTACTGACTCAGACAATGGTGACATTTGTCGAGCCATGGAAGACTATGTATATCGATTCAATTCGAGAGCAACGATATGGGGACGCTATTTGGGCTCGCTACTGCATCGAGGGAGGGGTAGAAAACGGTGTCATCATTGGTGAAGGCCCGAATCCTGATATCACGGTACTTGATCAAATCAGGGAAGATGCAGTTGAAGCAAGGACAAACGAGCCAGGGCTATGGGCCGAGGCTTTGGAGCTCTACCGAACGTCTAGTAGTACAGACGGGCACCCGGAGGTCCTCAAGATCATCTTTGATACTGACAGGATGGAATCTTGAGATTGAAAGTGGAGAGAAGAAGATGGAGACGTGACGACGAGGCGGTGTAATCGAGCAGGGTAGGCTGAAAGACTAGTTGGACCTTTTGAAAAGGATTCATTGTATGTACAGCGGCCTGCCGACAACTCATAGCCTCATAGCATGAAATACGAGGATGTGCCCTTGCTCACTCATGAAAGCCAACGTCAAAGAGTATCAATTGATTGAGAAAACATGCTCAAAAGACCGATAACTCGGATGTGTCGGCATTTGACAATGACACGTGTCTAATTCAGCCAATCGGACGAATGAATAAAGGCCTCTGATGACGGCTAGAACACAGAAATCACAACCAACACATAACGAGGACCAACAGAGTCTCACACTATCCCGTCATTAATGCAAAGATGGCACGTCAGGTTTCATGCCGACCCGGCCAATGTGATCAAATGCAGCGATTATGAGGAACAGCCTTGGATAAGATAAACCCGGTCTTGATACAAATAGGCTTTGGATGTTTTAATACTTAACCTTGATACATATCTCTCTCTCTAACAAGTCAACGCCAAACCGCAAGTAATAATAGCGCTTTATCTTGTATGCTTTGGATTATGATGCGAAAGAATTTTTGCTATCCTCTCTGCGGGACTTACTCACCCTTGTTGCTCTAGAGCCAACATCTTAACCCTGGCCAAAGGATTGCGGCAAAGCGCACAAGTAACTAACAACCAACAATCAACAACATGTCATTACATTCACTTACCCCTTGTCGTATGATACAAGGAAGTCAAGATGGAAATTGTCTTGCCTTTAGCCAAGAGCTATTCAAAACATAAAAAGGTTAGAATGGACCGGTTCATGGTTTAGTTCAAGTCGCCAAACAACCATCATCATCCAATTCGAACCTAAAGATGCTTTCTCAGCTTTTGACTATAACTCTTTTTCTGAGTGCAAAGCATGCTGTCGCACAGACAAACTCCTCCCATCTGCCAGAACAGCTCTTCTTGGATATCCCCATCAGCGATGTTCTTCAAAATGCGTCCATGCTGCCCTTGATCGAGCTTTGGTCTAGCAAATACGTTGAAGCCATCCAGAGTAAGAGGTATGGTGATGCGATATGGGCGAGATTCCACATGGAGGGAGGCGTCCATGATGGTATCACACAAGACACCAATGACACCATCTTGGACATCGTCAAGGAGGATGCAGCCGGCTACAAGGTCAACGCTCCTGTTCAATACGCTGAAGCTGTGGCTCTCTACGCGAGTACTAGTAGCGACGATACCCACTCAGATCTCATCAAGGCGATTGTGGACGCGACTCCGGACGAGAACCTCGCCAAACGTGCTACGTTCAAGATAAACTGCGACCGCGCCAACTATCTTGCGTCTCAGTCGGACTGCCAGCACCTCATACGTAATATGCTGAAGAGCAAGTTCAATATAGGAGACACAAGGCTTGCCGCTATTTATGGTGGTTGTAGACTAAGGGTTGGACCCTATCGTTCTGCTCCAGATATCACGTACAACACAGCACATGCGGTGGCTATTCTCATTGAAGAGAAATGCGAGAGGAGGATTGGATGCTGCAAATTTGTGTCAGGTTCCTCACCAAAGAATGGGGGACACCGAAAGGTCTGTTTGAGCTCGAAGCGGAGCGGATGTCGATGAGCAGCTGGGGCTTATTTTGGAAACTGAGTTACCTTAGCCCAAGAGTCTCCCCGGCTATGTTGCTTGATAATCAGGTGGTCATACAGACTTGTGACTCTCGACGAAGTTGTAAATATATTCGGGAGTACTACTGAAGTCCTTTTTAGGGCTTCAGGAATAAGTATCCAGCTCAATATTCTAAAAGTTTACCTAGCGCTATATGAACCACATCTATGGGGTTTCACATCATCATTAACGTCATTGTCAACCTTAGTTAAATCATCCTTGGTAAATACTTCTGATGAGAAACAATGAGTAACTGCTTGGCCTGTATAAGGAATACAAGTTGGGTCTTTTAGTGCAACTATGGCGTTGTAGATACCTTAGGCTTCTCAATCCCATATATACGATAATACTCTTCGCTGATTGGAATCTGCTTTGCGCCAGCCGGGCGAGTGACATTCCGTCCCCATTCCTTTGGCACTGAATGTTTGTCCTGCCACTCATATATCGCATCAAAATCGCGACACTGATGATTGACAGCAAAGTCCGGGAATGGATTTGACTGAGTCTCAACCCAGTTGAAGGTGATGATGTCCAAGTTTCCATTACACATGAGGTTCTGCATCAAGATGTCTGTGCAATGGCTTACATGAATCCAATGCAAGTCACTAAAAGGCTTCTTTGCCGTGCCATTGCGGTTGTACTCAGCCCAAGCTAGATGCCGAAGAAGGTTAAGGCAGTGGATCTGATGAAACATGTCGATTTGGGCCATGTAAGCATTATCACCAAGACCATACTCTTGGGGGAACTTGACGAGGAGCTCCGGGTCTTTACCCAGTCGACGAACCTCAGCCTCGGTGATAGGGAAGACACGAATGATCTCAAGATCCTCCCACGCTTCATCAACCTCCGGATCAGGCTTGAGTGAGTTGCGCCACTTGGACGGATTCTTTGCTTCAAATAAGCCACCCTCTGTTTCAATAGGCCTCATCTTGAAGTTGATTGAGTCCAGGACAGGAGCTGCAATAAGAGTTAATCAAGTGTTGACATCAAGGCGACTGAAGGGAAACTCACAGTAAAAGGACGTCTTGCGGACGTAATCCATCTCGGACTTTGAGCTAAGTCTGAAGGAAGCAGCACCGAAAAGACCAAGAGATATCAGAAAGAGAAGAATGTTAAGACCGACCCAAGCATGCTTTCTCCAACTCTGTCGCTGGCTTGGTCGAGTCCACTCGATCTCATCACTCTCTCTGTCACTGCCTAGAAGACTCTCATCAGAGCCTCTGTCCTCATTGAATGGCATAATTTTGGCTATGTTCAGAGATCCCGTTGGCAAGCAGGCTGATCAGGTGTAAATAAGCCTAATGGCTCCCGGGTTTGCAAATGATTAAATGCTGTAGAAGATGAACTGTAACTCGAGTAATGGCAGTGCTTTATCACCGATGTCCTGTAGCATTTCGTTATCATCACCAAATCTGGGGGCCAAAAGTAAACCACCTTCCACAAGCAGAATATCAAAGGTACTTTTGATGCAGGATGCCGATCAATCCGGCACAGCAATCCGAGACAGATCTCGGGTTTCCGAAGAGGATATCAAAGTGGGTACTTTTGAAGACAGATGCCGAGTTCCGGTAAGACGTCTTCTCTTGACGCGATGCTTTTGGACTCTGGCATCACCATCCTACACCAAAACGAAATATGTAGTGACGCATCGTCAGAAGAACTTCTGTTGATGCACACCAATGGACGAATTTCGTTGGATATCAAACCTTATCTACCCCGCAGCAGAAAGACCTTCCCTTCCAAGTAGTGACCGATTTGAACAAATATACGAGCAGTGGGAAAGAGCAGATGATAGATGATGTATTTAATGATGAAATGATCCTTTGTAGCATCCAACTGAAGAAGAAACGAGTCTCATGGTACAACAGTTCTCAATAGCAAACCGAGCGACAATGAAGTTATCTCAGATCCTCAGCACCGCTGCACTATGCAGCTTTGCAGTTGCAAGCCCTCTTCCTGGTACGTTGTACTATGCCTGACAGGCAGTAAATGTTAACCTTCAGTTTAGGCGATGCAATTACTGAGAGAGAGGCGAATCCTATTTCACCTCCTACTTATGGAAACAAGTACATCTTGGAGGATGACCTTGACAAGCGTACGCCTCCTGGCTACGGCGTCAAGTACATCTTGGAAGACGATCTTGACAAGCGTGAACCTCAGAGGAACACGTATGGCAAGGCCTATACTCTCAAGATGAAGGACGATGGATTCGAGAAGCGTGACCCTCAGGATGCATACAGGAAGTTCTATACCCTTAAGATGAAGGATGATGGCTTCAAGAAGCGAGATCCTCAGAATGCATATGGCAGGGCTTATACCTTGAAGATGGAGGATGACGGTATCGAGGAGCGCGGCGTTGAAAGTGAGGCTTAACTATTCATGTCATAGAATGACGTCTTTGAATATTGATCATCATAGTCAAGCCAGTGACTCAGCAGTAACAACCCAGTATAGTGCAATCCAGTGAATAAAGTACGCATTGATTGTAAAGATCAATGATATAGTAAAGCAAAGCGCTGTAGCCATGTCAGACCCCAGCTTTTTAGTACTTTGGGTAGCGTCATTCACGTGTATTGAAAGCCCGAACAGTAAAAGGAGTATGATGTTTCGCAGTGGCATAGTAGGTGCTTGCCAAGAGAATGATGCGAGGCGCTTTAGTCGACACATTGGAGAAGTGTAATCCCTAGGATCTGATCCAAGAATTGTGCTCAGTAACACCTTATCATTTTGTGGGCTGATTGAGATTTGTGTCATAATCAGGAACTGCTGTATTGCAAGGGCATGGATAAGTGCGCAAAGCATGGCAATCTTTACAGTGTATGGAGAACTGGAAACTAACTCCACGGTATCTATCTCGAGCTCTTGTTGCTTACTTAGTATGGAGGATTTGTTGGAAGACTCAAGTTGTACTCTGCGTTGGCTCCAACGCCGTCTTCGCCATAATAACTGGCTGCTTGCACAACACCGTTGTAGTTGGCGTATTTCTCGATTCCGAAAACTGTCCATGCCATGAGTCCCTCACTTACGGTGTCTCCAATGAATGTGTAACGTGCGACTGGATCCATGTCATTAACCTCGGCGTAAAGTACTTTGTCTTCTACGTTTTTGACTATCTTGTTGGCGTTGGAGGTATATAGCTCAATAGTGTCGACAAGGTTGCAAAGTTCCTGGTCGAAGAAGATCTGGTCGACATGAGAAATGTTGCCCGAGTTGAGTTGTCGAGTATTGTTCGGAAGGAGCTTCGCATTTTGGTCAACGAGGGCATGCACATGCGTGGCCCGAAGGGGATAGTGGCCAGGAAACTTGGTATCGAAAGAGACGACGCCGAGCTCATCGGTAGGCTGGATACCTCTGAAGAAGGTAGTATCGAGATCAGAGGCCTTACTGACCACTTCGTCAACAACACCAGAGTAGATGCTGGTCGAGTTGCAGTCCCACGTGTCCACATATCTTCCCTTTAGCGGCTCACAGGTCTTATAGTCGATGAACTGGACCTCCATATGCAGAGGCACTCCAGCCTCGCCATCCACAATATCGGAACGGATCAGCTCTCTAGCCACATATGCATCCCAATTAATACTTACTTTAAGCAGAGACTGAGGGATACCTAGAGTACGGGCGATACGTGGTCTCTTGGTCCATAGTACATGCGTCCGAGTAGCTTGTAAATAGCACCTCCTTGCGAGTATCCCAGTTATAACCAGTATATGTCGCGTTGTGGTTTGTGGCGAAGGAGCTATAGAAGCTACGGGCGTTGAGCAGGGGATATAATTATTAGGTAAGCGCATTTCTCGGCAGTATTGTCATAAAAGCGGTAACAACAAAACACACCTTTCTCGTCAACGCTCCTCATTTTTCTCTCCTTCTCGATCTTCTCAGCCCTCCTAGACAAACCGACTAAGAGCTATATAGAAATATCTAGCTTGCTTGGGTTTCTGTTATAGGTATTAAGAAGCAAGGTTAGGTAGTCCTATACAGCAAACTCGTTAGTAAGAAAGCGGCTGTTTTGCCATATGCCTATAATGTCGAGTAAGAACAGCATAGCTGTCGTGTTCTTGGCCTTATCGGGTGTCAGCATTGGAAGATAAACTGTATACTTACCGCTAGCGATCTGGATGTTTATGCTTTCGATCCTGCGCTGATTAAGCGGAATGCCGCTTTATAAGCGGCTTTACCTCTTATTTAGATCTAACTTAAATACCCCGAGTCTATACCTTATTAAGCCCTTAATATTCTGTATTTCCGTATTTCCGTATTTCCATATTTTCTATATATTCTATTTCTGTATTCCTTATATTATTATATATATAATATTGCTATATCTTACCTGCCTTGATTTATATATAAAGAGTATATATAGTAAGTAATTTATATAAGTCTTTACTACTTAGAGCACTATTCTCAGCGTCCAGAGGATAGCTCACTACTTAAATCGCACGGGTAATGCATTAGGGAAATGCATTAACTATTCCTTAACTAAATGCTGGAGTGGCATGCTCGGAACGCTAGCCAGACCATAAAGACGACTCTTGGCTCCAATTATCTTGACATACACGAAAATTCCATTCGGGCTGACACAGTCCTTTCCCTGCAGTTCTAGAATATTACTTTCTGTTAATGCCGAGCTTCCCTTGCTGTGTAAGAATCGTCTACTCTTGCTCAGATCTAAACGGGGCCAAGAAGGGTGGCGGAGATAAGGAGGGAACCAATGACGAAGCCAACGGTCCTGAATGGAGACTGAGGAGAAAAGCTAGGTACTGCGCCGTTGGAAGCAGCCGAAGTCGAAGACGCAGTCTTTGTGCTGCTTTTGGTGCCAGTCGCGGAAGACCCGCCAGTCGCAATTATGCTAGCCTCAGTTGGGATAGCTGTTGCAGTTCCAGAGGCGGTTCCGCTCCCCTTGCAGAAAACATCCTCCCAGGCAGCCCCGTTTTCGTAGAGGCACTTGACAATCTGAGAGACGTTTTTATTCGATGCGAGACAGTAGATGCCACAATTATCATAGTAGCTGACAATGTCGGCTGTTCCACAGCATTTAGTCATGATTTCGGTATGATTGCCGCCATAGGGCATGGCGCAAAGAGAGTTTTGCACGGGGGTGTTGTATAGGTTCTGGCCGCCCTTACAAGTTGAGGTTTGCGCAGCGGCTGAAGAGGTAGTCGAAGACATGTTGAAAGATTGGAGATATACGGCTGAATCTCGGGGGCTAGATTGAACTCGGAAAGAAGTTATAAGAGCGAAGCGCGTGTGATGTTTGTTGGTGAGAAATGAGAGGGGCAAAGCTACCGTATTTATTCCACAAGTCTCAACCTAGTATTTATCATATGACAATATGAGAAAACAGCAAAAAGGAAGGTTTTTTCCAGGGGCTATTTGGAACTTGCCAATGCACAAGTAGCGGCATTGCGGGTACGTCAGCTAAGCTATCCAAATACGGGCGCACAACCTTCATCCCTGTAGTTAAGCTAGCCTATTTTATGCATACGTAGTGAGTTTGCCTGGCTGTGCAGCAAAGGCCTTTGTTTCCCATTATCCCAAAAATAGTAACTGAGCTCGGCGGATTTAAGATACCCCTATCTGTACCGCATCTTCCGACGTCGGCACCTGAAGGGACTGAATCTCTCGTCGCCGTGAAGCCGAATACGTCATCATGTCTAAGGCGAGGAAGGCTGAGCCTAAGAGTAGGCGCAGCAAGATGTCTATATTGGTACACTTCGCTTCGAACGGCTAATAGCTGTTGGTTGACTTACATATTCCGGGTCTTTTGTGGTAACAATAGACACACTTGAACTGTCTAATTGGGCAAACAAAAGGCCCACTGTACCTTGATTGGTTGCCTTGATCGCGATAATGGATAGGTCAAGAGAATACTGGCTGATAGTGTGCATTTGCCCACTTCTTTATGTAAATGGTATCATCGTTCTCGTATCTGATCCACTTGTTGCCATACTTCCATCGCCTTGTCTTTTGGGAGAAGCTTTGGACTAATGCCAGGCTTATCCTTGAGGATCCTTTTAATCTCTTCAAGGTACATGACACCGCCAAAGTTGGTGTAGGGAGCCGGCCGACTAGTGCCAGACCATTTGCACCCGGCACAATCAGTTCGAATCAGCGACGGTAAAGCCACTAATAGTAAACAAAACCCATGTTGACCTCTGCAGGATCGACGCTGGTGTGGTATAATGGCAGTGACCAGTATGCAATCTCGGGGATATTTGTGTGGCCAAGGATGACGCGTCCAACCTCCTTAAAATCCTCATCCAACCGTCCGTGAAGATCATATGTCATGATTCCTATGTACTCAACATATCGCTCTATCTCCTTCGGCTCGAGCTACCACGTACTAGTGGCCCGTGGGGATAGCGATATTGATTCCATACTTGGACCCGAATGTAGCGCGCATATTCTTGAGGAGCGACACGTAGCTGCCTGTATCCTCCTTGCGGCCACCTCGATCAGGGGATCCCGGGCTTTGGAGGTCTAGTTCGCCGGTGGCTCATGAGCCGATCAACGGAAACAAATTATAAACTACTACTCCTAGTCAAGATCCACGCCCTGGAATTTGTGCTAATCGAGTAAGCTGGTTAAAAACTTGATAGACAGTACCCTAAGCCCAGGGCTGGCAGACATGTCATCAAAGGTAGTTCTTGTTTGTTCAGGGCCATTGAAAGTCCACCGTCCGATGGCCATCCAAGTTTCAATAGCTGGGGGGCGGCCATGGCGAACGCTAACTACAAGCGCAAGATTACCTACAGCATGGACTTGCGGGAAGCCACTAATCCTAGACCACGGTATCTTCTAATATGCAGAGTGGTCCAAAATGTGTCCCAAAAAGCAGCCTATGCTCATACGCAACGAAAGGTTAGCTGGGCAATGTCTCTTTAGTGCTGAGGAACGCCAGGGCTATAAGAATACAGTAAGTTTGGTGGAACAGACACCGCAGGGCTTTGTTCGGCATAGCGGACTGGTGTCCCGGAATTAACGGCTGTATAGAGAAGATGAGAACGGCCCAGAAGACTGGAACCCTGATACACCAAACGAGCCAGTGGGATAAGGCATATCTGGGTCTTCGGTATTTCGTAATCTTTACAACTTGCTTACACAAAGTAGTACGGGGTTCTGCAGTTGCTGACAGATAATACCTCGCGGTCGGCGAGCAATCGGTTAGCCATTTCTTTAATACCACGCAGTTGCGGGGGAAATCCTCGCGAATCTAGGTCGGGGATAAACTGAATAATAGCTTGCTCCTCTAGATCAGATAGTTTCCGTGACTTAGGTATAATATTATATCGGGAAGAAATGCATGGGTTCGGCGCCAGAGTGAGCCATAGGAGGCCTGGTAGATCTTAGCTGCATGATAGAGACCCAATTCTGGGTTGCTTCAATAGGCCTAAAGTACAAGAATGATATTTGCCTCTTTATTTGATTCAGACATGATTGATAGTTAATAATCAATTAATTAAATAGAAATGTTATAGGGTGAGGGATTTTTAGTCTACCTGCTTGTCTGGTCCACCTGCTTGTTATATATATTATAGTATTTAAGTATTTTGCAATCCCCATATTTGTGTAATGTATCTTAAAAAGCTTAAATATAACTCTGCAGGGCGTTCCCATATCACCCTCATCTCGGACAGGACTGTGAAGAGGATATTGAAATTCCTATGGGCATAACCCATGGCCTCTTTATCCTGTGCTGTCATATTTAAACATTGTACAAGTGCAGCTCGAAGAATGTGATGTAGAGCAGAAGGTGGCAAATCTCTAGTCACCCCATCTCTTATTAAACTGCTAAGGATCTCGGCCACTTTATCGGCAGCGGTAGTTACTCGTTCAAGTGGGGTGATTCCATCATTGAACTTGTTTGCCGAGGAATCCTCAAGAAATGGCCGAAACAGATTAATTATAGCGGCATAGTATGCTATCCAGAACGCGGATTGTGGCGGTGATGGTATAGTTGATTCGGTAATTTCCAGATGCTTAACTTCGTGCCTAAATGCATGCATAGCACCCAAGGCTTGAAGTAGCTGCACCTCTTGCTCTGCCCTTGACAGTTTTGTAAAGCTTGGCATATAGCTCGTAAGATGTAAGTAGCAGTGTAAATGGAGACAGTTAGATATCTTACACAGCATCAATATAAGTCTGGTTTAACCGTAGCAACTGACAGTTATATCTAAAATACACCGTTGAAGGGTCATTTGAGTTAAGAGAACTGACATCGGGGAGCGGTATATTTTCAGCGTCCCACAGGATAGCTCGTGGAATTCCGAGACTTGGCGTTGATGTTCTAGTTAAAGATGTTTATCAGAAGTGATCTAGTTAACAAGACGAGTTGTAAGGGACGATGGGATCATACCGTTCGGCCAGCAATAATGACCAAAAAGTCTTGAGTTTGTCGTTGCGACTCATCTCATTTTCTGAGTCAGAGCCTGGGTTGAATAGGTTTTCCAAGTAAAGATGTGTAGAAAGCCCCAAAGCCATATCTAGGTTTATCAGCCGGCTTCACTACAAAGCAAAGACAAGCTTAACATACATTGATACGCAAAACCATCTGATCGATAAAACAAGGTTTGCTTGAACCAAGCGAGAATCGACGTCGCCTTGATGACGGGTAAGGATGGTTTCAGACTAAAACACGACTCAGCCAGCATCTCAGCATAGGCTAGCAACGCGCTCTCTAGAGCCGCTGGGATACTTAAGCAGTGGGCTGAGACAGCGAATACCGCGCTATATAGAAACTGTAGTTCTTGGTCATTCTCAGGGAAGGACGGATAAAATAGAAGCCATGAAGGCTCGACAAACAGGTAGTAAATGTTGATGGAATTCAGGAAAAAGTCCATCATGCGGTTCTTCAGCTCCACTTGCTGACTAAACGCCTGTATCAGATCAAGAGCTCTGTCCCTAGGCATTTGAAAAGAAGTTCTTGAGTTAGTTGCAAATATTTCTATTAATGAAGGATCTGGAGTAGTGAACTTTCCAGGGCCCGAAAAGAACAACTTCTCGCCTGGCAAAGCTGACCATCTCCAGTTGAGGAAGGCAAAATTCTCCAACGCAAGTTCAGACCGTTTTACGCAAGGACGGCTGTTTGTTAGAAATCTCAGGCTTGAAAGGTCTGGGGTATCCTTAATAATTGCATAACTCCGTTCGAGCGATGAACCAGTATGCATCCCTTTGATAATGGCTGAGAGATGCTGAACTTGAGATTCAAGTGATTGAATATAAGTGCTATCACGTCGTACAATGCTACATTGGAGTACGTCAGTTAGCAGAGGGCTTCAATGTCAGCAGAACAGGACATAATTACCTGAATGGTTTCTGACGTAGCCTCCAACTGCAGTCGGCTCCTCGCAATTTGCATGGAGAACATTGGGGACTTTGGCCATCACACTAATAACCGCCGTGAGGCGTTACTAAAAGTTTAGACATTGGGGTAAGCATGACGAACCTTGCGTTTCTTTTGCCTGCACGGGTTACAAGCGGAGTACACCCGCTCGGCTTTCTCCATGTTAGATAGTTGTAACAGCAAAAAATACGGTGTTGTCGATTGAATAATGGTTCGTAAGGATGATAGTTGTGTGAGAGGAAGACGGAAATAGGATGGAGTAGCAGTAGCGGCGGATAAGTTTTATCCGCGGCATCGTCGGCACGAGTCTCACCGCCTACTTGTTCTGGTCTAGGCTCGACAAAAGCCCTGATTTCAGCGCCGTAGTAGCCGGCGCCATCGTGCCAGAAAAAGATCAACCAACTTCAATACTGGATCTGGATACGGCCTATGTCTAGTCAAAATAGGGCCGAGCGCGGCTGATTAGCAATAGTCCGAGACTCCGAGTAATTGTTCGTGATATGGAGCTTCTGAGAGTCAATATCGTCACGCAGCGTGTTAGAGTGAAGAATATTATACTGAACTAATCACCCAATAATAATATAAAAGAGTCCACTCACCTTGCATTTAACCGACAGCTCACTTCTTCATTGCCTCAAACATCTCTGTCTTACCTCTCTGTCTTACATCTCACTTGTCAAGTCCCCATAGCTGGATTTACCATGAGCCCTCCAAGCACCACAGACGTACTGATTATTGGAGCTGGTCCCATGGGCCTTCTGACTTCCATTGGTCTTGCCAAGCAAAGCATTGACACGATCGTGCTAGGTAAGCTTTATCCAGGGATAAATCCTTCATTATCACTTATATCTCATAACTATATGCAGACAAACGAGAGCGCAACGTACAAGTCGCCACTGGCCGCGCCAGTACGCTCTATCCTCGCTCTCTGGAGCTCCTCGAGCCCCTAGGTGTGACTGGTGACCTGCTCCAGAAGGGATTCGTGGCCCGAAATAGCGTCAACTTCAAGAACGGCTCGAGAGTCAACGAACGTGGCTGGAACGACATGTTTGATCACCTCAAGCTTAGCTACCATGACTACGTTTTGAACATTCGCCAATGTAACTCTGAGGAGGTCTTTCTCTCCCACTACGAAAAGTGTGGCAAATCTGTTTGGTATGGTTGGAAATTAGTGGCTTACAGCATCGACACCTCTCTCAACGATGGATTTCATATCACTGCTGTCCTTGAACACCCAACCAAGGGTCAAAGTCATGTTCGCAGGTATGTAGCACAGTGCGAGGGCCTTGAAGCGACCGCTAATTGATAAAAGCAAATATCTCCTTGGAGCTGACGGGGGGTCGTCATCTGTCCGACAACTAAGCGATATCACCATGGACTTCCAATCGACCAGTTATGAATGGATCCGAATCGATGGGAAAATGACAACAGATATGCCGGGCGCTTCCCTCGGTTTTGCCTCTATCGAGACAGAGCATCATGGGAACGTCTTATGGGTCAAACTGGAGGGAGATGCCAATCGCATCGGATATGCTTTAACCCCGCATCTTCTGGCTAAGTATCCCAACGGCATCACGGAGAGTGAAGCTGTCCAGGAAGCCATCGATTCTGTCAAGCCATTTAAGCTGCAAGTTGATAGACTTGACTGGTGGACCCATTACAAGTATGCAAAGGACCTCTCTGGAGCTAAGATTTCCTTACGAGCCGGCTAACTCTTCAATAGGATTCGACAGGGAGTTACACAGTTGTTCCGAAAGGACAAATATGTCCTGCTCGGTGGAGACGCTGCTCATATTCATTCCTCTGGATTTGCCCAAGGCATGAATACTGGCATCCACGACGCCACTAACCTGGTCTGGAAGTTGGCTGGAGCCGTCAAAGGCTGGTACAAAGATTCAGTCCTCGACACGTATCATACAGAGCGACATGCAGCAGCGACACGACTGATTGAAATTGATACAGAAGCTTCGAGTGTCATTTCTGGTGTTATCCCTCCACGATGGGAGTCCCTGGGGCTCACCCCCGATGAGATTTTATGGAAAACCTGGACCGAGAACATCAGCTTCAACGTTGGGCTGGGTGTTTCATATTCCAAGTCAGTCATTAATCATACTACTCGTGATACTTGCCTGGAGACTGGCAAACGTTGTCCTGATGCCCTGATTCGTGGTCCGGGCATCAACGTTCCTCTGCGTCTCTACGATACTCTTCTGCAGGACGGAACCCCCGGTCGCTGGAGTATCGTAGTGTTTGCCGGTAACACCGCACTAACAAAAAAGGGTTTCGAAACCGTTAGGAGCAGTTTGGAGAAGGTGGCAGACTCACACCAAGACATGGTTCGTCTTGTAACCATCGTGGCTGGTTGTGCGGGGAGTGCTTGGTCCGCTCTCGACGGACCTGCTCTAGGTAATTGCTACTTTGACGGAGATGGAAGCGCCCACGGACAGTATGGAGTAGACCTGGCTGCAGGAGCTATCGTTATTATACGTCCGGATACTATTCTTAGTTTTGCAACGGGCTTTAGCGATGTTTCTAGTATAGCAGATTACTTTACTCAGTTTATTGATTATATTTAGATAATTATAAGAATCTTATATAGACATTAATTAGCCGCTAGAAATAAAGAGAGAGGACTATAAAAGTTAAGGAAACCTATAAGTATAATAAAGTAACTCGAATAAGACTTTAGTAGGAGTAATGACATTGACGACTTCGACAGGAACTAACTCCAGTGCTGCCAAAGAACGTTAGCACAAAGAGTTCGAGATACCCCAAGGATCTTTTACCTTGTGTTATTAATTGCAGTGCCACTAGTTGAAAGGCTGCGACAAACTTCTTCATCTGCGTGGTTTCATCTCGAATAATTGTCATATGAGCAAGGAGGGTTCTCGTTGGTGGGAGAATGGATAGGCAATCCTTAAAATGCCCCATTGTTACGACGGGCTATGAGCAGAGATGTTGTCGAACTGTAAATTGTTCTGGTTGAGATGCAGTTGAGCCTGGATGGTGTTGTTGACTTTGTTACATTGAGGTAATGAACTCTGTTCATAGAAGATGCTGTAGTTGGCCTCATTGCCATGCGATTGCGCCAACTAGCCAGTTACGGCATGAGACACAGCAGTGTAGAATGCATAAGCTTATCTTCTCAACAGTATAAGTATCTCGTAGTGCGCACTTAATGACTGAATTGCTATCCTAGGGTATCTGCCTGTATAGACATCGATCTTGCTGTATCGAGTATTGATAGTAAGCGTTATCAGAAGAGAAGGGAACCGATTATTTATTCTGAGCAATCAAGCCATGACTACAATACCTTATCTGGCGTATCTATAGAACGGATAGCCGCCGGGCTTCTGTTGTTATCAGCACTACAGCCCTCCTTCTAATCACGCGCTATCTCCACAAAGATAAGCCAAAGCCAAGCTACCCCACGGGTGGCCTGCGTGCTCGATTCATGAGACAGCGGCTCTGCCTGGCCCCGATATGTGTGACGGGCCTGTACAACTTCAAACTGCTTAATCTGCTACTAGACGTTGCGAGGCTTGTCAATCACAAGCTTGATTCTGAGATGCATCACTTTGGAACTGACGAACGACGAGATTGCCCTGAGTTGAATAAGTGTGCATAAAGCCCAGCTCTCACAACGATGAGGCTTCATCGATGCGTACCATCAATTCCACGCAAACACGCTAGCATGGTTATGTAAATCCTTTCTGGTGAGTCTGACTCTTCGGCTAATGTTGATTGCAGGCCAGAGCCATCCTGAGTTCGCACGCCAGGTCAATGAACGACTAGGCATAAATATTAAGATATTTATATTTTATAAATTTTCTTATTTTTAAATACACGCGCTAATTAGCTAAGCGTCTGTTTTCCGCTTACTAAATTGACTAGTGTCATTAGCAGAAGATTTCAGCTCCCCTTCCCCAATTTCCCCATCCCATCCATTATCCACAAGGTACACACGGAACCTCTCGTCATTCTTACTCAAGTCCTCTCCCGTGACATTCGGGATAAAGAAATATGTCACCAAAATCCCTGTCACGCCGCAAATTGCAGCAATAATAAATGTCCAGCGCTTCCCTAGATTTAGCTGAATCGGCTTGAAAGCCTGCGTTCCTACAGCTGCCCCAGTCTTGCCCAGCGCTGCACTGATGCCGTAACACGTTCCGCGGACACTTGTGGCGTAGCTTTCGGACGAGAGCAAACCAAGCATGTCTCCGGGACCAAGATTTCCAGAAGACTGCATGAGACCATAGAAAACAACAAACAAGGGGACAATCTTGGTGATCTTGTCATATGCACAGCCAATGATCAGACCAAACACCAGATACCCTGCGAACCCTACCATCATGGTGTTTTTCCTACCCACCCTGTCGCACATCCAAGCACCGATGAATACACCAGGAAGAGCAATGCAACCGAGAAGGAGCTGCCATTCTGCTGTGTGTAAAAGAGTGTTGCCGCCCTCGGGTACCACAGAGGCAAGGATGGTGCCCGAGAAGACCCCATTTGGAAACGTGACAAAATCATACAGAAACCAAGCACCACAAGTGCCAATGAGAGTTTTCCAATAGTAACGAAGAACGAGGGCATAAGGAACCCTTCGTTTTATTGCACCCTGGCGGTAGAGCTTCGAGTTAAGCATGCGTAATCGGAAGTAAAAGACAGTGAGAGGTAGCAAGATCCCGATTCCAAAACAAACGCGCCACACAGTCGAGAGATTTTCCCTTCCAGCGGCTGAGAGAACAATCATAAAGATAGAGACTGCAAGTGGACCTCCAAAGGATAGCGGCAAATTCGTAACAAGGATGAATATCGGTCCTCGTTTGTTCAATGCTCGCTCATTGGCAGACTCCGAAGCAGATGTGCTGCTGGCAGGATACTCGCCACCAGTTCCGAAGCCAACGACTCCTCGAGCTACCGTCAGCATCCAGAACATGCCATCGATGGTCGTGCCGTGTGCTGCTGTGGCTAGGATACCTCCGACGACAATGCACATTGTTGTGAGCACAATGGCTGTCTTTCGTCCAAGATAGTCGCACGTGAGACCAATGGCAATCTGACCGAGAATCTCGCCAACAAGGAGAGCGTTGGAGACCCGAGTACTGACGGACGACGTATACTGCTTTGGATATTCCTTCTTGAACAGCACATTCGACATTGTCATCAGGTTATTCTGATAGCCATCTGATATAAGTGCTGCTCCTGCACAGCAGATTGTAAAGAGGTCCGATATTCTTTGGCGGCGATGTATGACATCTTGCGTTGAGCCTTCAATGCTAATGGAAGCATTTGCGGTCTTGCTTTCATCTTGAGCATCTTTCGTGGTCTTTATTTCGTCCGGTTGAGTATCAGACATGATGAGATATTGTAGTGCAGGGAATTTACAGAAATTAAACACGCTTGGAACGCGAAACTGTCCATCTTATACTTGGTAGATCCTTTCTCGTGCAAGACAAGAATTTGCCGGTTTCCCGTTCGCAGTCCCAATCGGGTAACTCACCAGAAGCGCTAGTCTTGTCATCGACTTCCGATATCCGAGTTGGCCTATTACAGTTCTTAGGCCAGCCATGTGACTTGTGATATCCACAACATGGGTATCACGGCTTGCTTATCGCAGAATATTGAGCTTTTTGAGTTATAAGAAGTCCAGTTTTCATATTATGAACGGTCGCTATTCGGTAAAAGGAATAAATATAAATTTTCTTTCATATAGTTTTAACTCTGTTTGTCCAGATCAAGACTACGCCAGCCCCCTATGTTGGCCGAGACTTCCAGCCAATAAGTATCAATTAATGCTGCATGTGATCTAGATATTCACTTACTTTTAGCCTATTAAAGGCTACTTGTTACAGGCAAAATCAGTGCAAACTCTGGAGCCTTGAGCACCTTATCCCAACGATGTTATTGTACTTAGCTAAAACGCCCTTAACGAGACTTGGAAATTGCCTGTGCCGATGGAAGATAAACAAGCTCTCTAGGCAACAATAAGGACCCTGTGTGATCGACGGTCCATCTCCTGGCCCAAATAATAGTACTTGAAGCCCAGACAGTCCCCTTGTCTTTATTACTAAGGTTATAGCGCTAGTAATTTACGTTTCGGTCTAGAGCGCGCGATCGAGTTAACTGTAGAGGTTGGAAAGGCAGTGGAACTAGCCCGACAGGTTAACCAAGTCATACTCTGCATTAGCCTTAATAGAAAATGGGAAGTGAGGGCTTCGACCGTTCTTATATAGATCTTCTGCCTGGGACAGACGACCTTGTCCGCGCTGTTCTCGCAGCTAATCTGAAGACATCTATCGTAGTGCAGCCCGGTACGCCACTCCATGACATGGATTCATAAGGCGCCCGCTGTGCTGTATGCCTGATACGGATATAATGAGGGAGGCAATGCCATTGTTGATGTGATCATTACCGATATCAACCCTAGTGGAAAGCTGCCCCTTAGCTTTCCAGTTCGCAATGAAGATAACCCTGCCTTCTTGAACTATATTTCCCAGCGAAATCGTGTTATCTACGACGAGGACGTTTTTATGGGATATCGCTTCTATGAGTCTTCTAAACGGGAGGTCGCCTTTCCTTTTGGCGACGGCCTGAGCTACACTACTTTTGAACTAAGTCTAATCTCTGTGGATGTCGACTCTAACGGCGACAGCAGCAAGAATCTTGTTGCTGTGTCGGTGCAAGTTGCCAACACGGGTTCGTTCATGGTTCCCAGGTTATGCAGGTCTGCGCCCGCCAGAAGAGTCCTAGTCTTATCCGACCTATTAAGGAACCCAAGTGCTTCGATAAGGTATTTGTACGTGCTGGCGAGACCGCCACTGCAATCATCAAGCTAGCGAAGCGGTATGTGGCTAGTTTCTGGGATGAGGGACGGGATGCCTGGGCTATGAAGAAAGGCAAATATGAGCTGCTGATCGCCGATTCCAACACCCATACTCCGCTTAGTGCTACTTTCCCTTTGGGAGAATCACGTTAGTGGCGCGGGCTGTAAAATTGTTGTGCAGGAATAGAAGGCTTAGTAGGTAATAAGATTTATTTTACTCTGTACTAGTGTGTTGGTCTAAATCACCATAACCACTCAGTCAAAAGCTTGCATAGCTTTCCATGCAGTGTAAGGCCGCTCTACGACCATTTCCTTGACTGTAGGCAAGGCTGAGCGACCCTCACCAAACCTCATACTCGATGCCATAATGTCGCGCCATCTCCTACCAGGTGCAATCTTGCCTGAGATGGTGTTAGGCACTAGACTGTCACTATTCACAGGAACCAGAGCTGAACGCCCCAAGATGGCTTCCATCGCTTGTTGAGCAAAAGAAACTGCCTCCTTGGCATCCGATGGGACTCCGGTCTCATCTAGCGCCCGGATATCAGTATCTGGAAGCTGCTCCTTGAGATATTTGATGATGGTCGGGTTTCGGGCGCCACCACCGCACATGTAAATCTCTGCAATCTGATCCACGCGGATGCCGAACCGAGGGAAGAACGTGCGGTATTGCTTAATAATATTCTGGGCCGTTATCCGAGTAATGGTTGCTAGAGTGTCATACTTGTCGCACCCGGCAGCAAGACACTCGTCGATCAGTTCTTGGCCTTCATTGTCGCCAAATGTTTCCCGTCCTGTGGTCTTGGGAGGGGTGTGGTTGCAGTACGTATTTGTACTGAGGAACTTATCCACGATGTCCTGGCGCACAGTGCCTCTTGCGCTCCATTCGCCGTCTTTGTCGTATTCCATCTCGCCGTCAGTAAAGTATCTCATAGCGTTGTCAATAAACATGTTGCCAGGGCCGCAATCCCTAGAGATGTTAGCCGCATTCTCTTGGGTGCTATGTATGTAGAGGATTCCTTACCAGTCTACCATTGCGTCCACTCCGCCCTCGCAATCAGGGGGAATGACACAAAGATTGGCAATTCCGCCAATATTCTGACAGACACGCCACTTGGTTGGGTGATGGAGCAGAAGGCCGTCGATCAGAGCGACCAATGGAGCACCCTGTCTACCCACGGCTTGCTCTGCCATTCGGAAATCTGTCACAGTCGTAACACCGGTTATGGCACTAATAACTGTGCCCTCTCCAAGGCAAAATGCAGAGCGCGTTTCCCCCTCTTCTGGCATGGAGAGAAGCCAAATAGTCTGTCCATGCGATCCGATGAGGTCAATGCTGTCCATAGATATCTTGTGCTTGTCGCAAAACTCCTTAACGGCATCACCAAACATCTGTCCAAGTTGCACATTGAGTTGCGACATTTTTGAGGGAGTCGTCTTGGTTTCCCGAAGCATCGTGAGAACGGGTTTCTTGATCCATTGAGGTACAGGCATCTCATCATACTAAGTATATATTCAGCACCAGATCAGTAGATATAGAGATGGGGCGAAGTGAAACATACCTTAACGAGCTCCATGTGTAGAGGTGCATCTGGAGACTCCTGGCGATATCGAACAAGTGCACAATCGATACCGTCCATTGCAGTGCCACTGTTCATCCCCAGAACGGTTAAGTCGAGCGAACCAGTGGTAGATGGCCGAATATGACCATTTCCATTGAGGGAATTGCCATTGGATCCATGTGCGTGACCATTGGTAGCGGAATCGCTACCATTTTGCAGTGTTTGGGGCCGAGTCATGGTGAGATGATGTATTATAAAGTTTTCATAAATCTTGGCAATATCTCTGCGAGGTAGCACACATAGACTGATATACTGAGTTCAGTTTGTTAAAGATCGTTGAAGAGCATAAGAATACGTTCACGGACATGACTGCGCATTTAATATAATGTGGTATTTGATGGCGCCTCGATACGAATCGCGTTTGAAATCCCCTGTTTGGAATCTCGTGACGACAAGTGAAGAGCAATCGCAATTATGTAAACTTCCCGAGGAGATGGTCTTCGCTTGGTGACTAGCTTATTCCGTACTCCATAGAGAAATGTCAACCTCTCCGCAATCTCTTAGCATTTAAACTAATTTAGCCTCTCTCGAGTCGAAGTGCCTTTTTGGGCAATTCGTCTCGATGCTGAGCACGAGTCACGAACTTTGGCTATTTCCGTGTTGTCTCCAGCAGTGAGCCTAACCAGGATCAAACTGTCAGATAGCTTATTTAATCAATTGACAAAGGCAGGTTGAGTAGAAAGAGCATAAAGACCTGCTTCTTGTCATCATAACATGATGCTGAATTCCTTACCCTGCTACATGACCATATCAGGCAGTCAGCGAAAGATCATGCTTAAGGAAATGGCAAACCCTCGGTCCGTGTGGACCTCCGACGATGGTAGCATGGCCCAAGAGACTGCCAAGTCTCGCTGGCCTAAGCTTGTGCAGGGTATGATCGATGATGTCCGTGTTACCGGCGCTGAGCTTGCTCCATCCCGTGCACTTGACGAAATGAGGTCGATAGAGATAAGCCTTGAGACGCTCAAGGACGAAATTGCTGGTGATGATCAACTGCGGTGAGTGCTCCTTATGAACTTCTCTGGTTGGTTTATCACTAAACAATGCTTAGTCCCCTCGAAGAAGATGGATCAGCAGATGTTGCGTCGTACAATCAGCTTCTCCTCAATATGGGCGTATTGACCTGGCTCGACTGTCCATGGTTGTATGGTGAATGCTACTTGTATAGGTCAGTCTTGGAGTAGCTGAGTACCTCCAAATGATGCTAACTTCTGCAGGCGAGTGCAGCTGTTGTTTTCCATGTCATCTTCCTGGCAAGGGTACGATGTGTTCAAACGTCAAAAGGACTATACCCTTGTCAAGTCGCAAAAGGCCGTCCAGGAGCTGGCGAAGAGGGTCACTCAAGTCATTGCAAACTCGATACAGCCACTCCAGAGCTTGGATGACGATGCAGCGAGACTTGTCTTTTCTGAAATGACCGAGATGGCTTTATGGGGCAACGCAACAGATTTATCTCTTCTGACCAACCTCAGCCTGGAGGAAATTCAGAAGTTACAAGGAAGCGCAGCGATCGAAGAGAGCCAACGGAACATTGTCGACAACGATACATCAGATGTCTGGGTTTATCTGCAAAAGACTCGATTGACTCAAAAGAATCGACATATCGATATCGTTCTTGACAATGCTGGATTTGAGCTATTTGCAGATGTCCTTTACGCGACATATCTCATTGAATCTGGTCTCGGGACGAGCATCACTCTCCATGCGAAATGCTTTCCTTGGTTTGTAAGCGACGTAATACCCAGCGATATGGACTTCCTCCTCGACCATCTGCGGTCCATAGGCTTGACTTCTTTGGCCAGCCAGATCGACAGGTATTTTGCAGTCGGCTTAATGCGTATCGAGGTTCATTCGTTCTGGACGACAGCCTGGTCATTTCATGAGGTGGTGGCTGTAGCACCCGATTTATTTCAGCGTTTTCAGGACAGCTATTTAACTATATGGAAAGGGGACTTGAATTATCGAAAATTGACCAGAGACGGGCTTTGGCCACACACCACGACTTTCAAATCTTCACTTGGTCTACTAGGGCACCGAAGTGGTGTGAAGATTCTCGCGTTGAGAACAAACAAGTCCGATACTTGCGTTGGAATTGAAAGCGAGGAAGTTGTCAAGCGACTCAACAGGGAAGCACCCGAGATGGGATGGGTCAGAGATGGGAAACATGCCGTGATATCATTTAGCGACGGCGTCTGAGGTGGGTCATGTACTACTGGCAGTTTGACCATTCCTCTCGTAAAACATTGATTATCCAGGCAGTTGGCCAGGCATGCGATGATTCGAGATTCTCAAGCATGGTTATCAGGCTTCTTTGCTCCCGCTTGTCTGTCATCAATGGACCCCCTTTCATAGGTTAGACAGTTTTGAATCTTGACAACATAGTACAACGTACAAATAAACGTAGAGTGGCATAATGTGATAAGTGACGGCACAGTTCCCGGCGAACCTTTGCATGCTCCACAAAGTGCTCGGGCATGCTCCATGACAGACTCCTAAAGTGATGTCAATGAGGCACATTACTCTAAAAGCCATGAACTCACATCAGAGTCCGGCAAGGTTCGGCGGATGTTCCGAATGGCGAACCGTGGCGATGGGCGGTAGACTTTTAAAAGCATCCTGGCTAGATGGTAGAATCCAAATGCCATGACTGATCACCATCAGATTCCATAGACTAGGGGGAGATTGTTCCTATCTGTGCTTACCATGCCAGTCTGCCGTAAACCAAATTTCTGGAAAGGGGTCTCCCCCCAGCTCCGGTTCTCCAGACCATATCGGATCAAACGTACCCGGTTTCGTCTTGTTCCAGTTCTCGACGGCCTCGGACAACTCATACCATCTTTGCATCCTTGTAGATGACTCTGAGTACAAGACACTACCACTAAAACAGAATTGCATCACTGTAGCGCAGATCCATGTCATGGTGTTTGCCCAGGCAGTCTCTGACTTGACATCTACAGCTTGCCGATGGATGACGGATGGCGATGGCACCAACACTAAGTCGAAATTCAAATTGGGCGGCTGCTGATTGATGCAGGCATTGTAGAAGGATTGCCTTACATAAACCCAAAACGCAGCTTGAGACAGGGTAGGTGCCGAGGGATCAACCTGTTGTCCTTGGGATGCCTTGAGCAAAGCACTCAACCCAGCAAGATGTCTCTCCTCATCACCACCTGTCACAGTCACTGTACTAAGGTTAGATAGGGTTAGTTACTGCGCAATGGGACTTACCACTCAATTGTTCGCATACGCGTAATATGACTATGGCGCAGAGGATGGTCTCATCGTGGGCAATGGTCTCGGTACTGAGCAAGGGAATGAGAAGGACAATGCACTTTTCTTGGAATTCATCAGCTGTGTTGTTGTCACCTAAATGGCGAGCGGCATAAGAAATAATAGCATATAAAAGAATGGGTGAGCTCTTGGCCAGGACAGTCACATTGAGCGTAAACTGTCGTGATGCATCCGTGCAGTCGAGCCATTGAGCCACGTGCGTGGAGAAGTGATGCAGATAGAAAGCCTCCTGGCGTGTTGGCGAAGGAGGAGCAGGGGTTATGCTAGGTACTCCCATAGTCAAGTCGCCACTGTACTGGCTTGGAGATTCATGCTGACTGAGGCCGAGGACTGAAGCCGCTGAAGTCGGCGATGTCAGAGTCTCGGGGTACCAGTTTGAATCCGGCTGCTGTAGAGTGTCGACTGGTGGCGAGTCCCCTTCCGCCAAGGGAACATCTCCTTCCGGAGGATGGAGGGATTGCTCAGCATGTACTGGATGTTCCGTTTTCTTTGGCCGGTAGTGCTTTATCTTGAGCCTAGGGGATGGACTGTCCCAGCGACACTGTTGATTCCTCTTAAGGCACTAGTTTCACTTAGCTCCACACTCTTGTCGATTAAATATCTCAGTATGCTGAACATACCACCCCGCAAGTAGGTCTCGTCTCATCACCTGTGATGTCAGTGTTGCCAATTTTCTTCTGTCCATGAAGACGCACATTTCACACGACGTTCTCGGCACGTAAGGCTGTTTCATGTCAACTATTATTCTAGAGTATTTGCTCATTTGGCTCACCAGCCGTTACGAGATCGCAGCCGACCCATGTTACCCGAGCTGTCCTCTGATTGCAGATGTAAGGGAGGATGTCGAGACGAGAAGCAGACAAGGAATTCGAGGCGAAAAAAAGCAGAGATTCGAGACGAGAGGTTCCGGGGGAGTGGAACGACCCGTTTATGCTGAGTTTACTAGTGCAACATCCCCGCATCTACGCTCAATATTTCCCACTGGTGTCATTGCGGGCCCATCACAGGCTAATAATTTAACGTCATGTTGACACAAAATCGGAGACACAAATTTTGAACTAACCATTACCGGTAATTCGAGACGAAGAAAAACCTCACTAAGAATTCCGTACCAAGTTCTCCGCATCGCGCTGTGGCTAAATCCCCACGGGGTTGGAGCAGTCTAGACTTGCAATCTCTGGGGAAAAGAAATAGATATAATGGGGGGATCTTGAACATCACAAGAACCTTTCCAATTGGCGACACCAAAACATAACCAATACTGCCTTGACACATAACTACACTTACTACTGTGTTGACCTTACGACCTTCAATCATCAGCATCATGTGGAATCGCCAAAGCTGGAAGTCCATGTCTGGGCAGCAGTTGCTCAGACTTGTTACAGCTGCCTCGGCTGTCGCAATCTCCTACGAAGGCATCAGTCAGGGCGTCATGGGCGCTGTCACTGTTTCACCCGAGTTCGGGCGACGTATGGGATACACAAACGATAAGGACGAAGTCGTCAAACCCATGCTCCAGGGCGGGATTGCCGCCGTATACTATCTGTATGTGTCCCCTTGGGTTTATTTGATTAGAAACGGCAACTGATGTTAAAAAGTGGCTCTCTCTTCGCAGCCTTTTGGGCGGGCAGCTTCTCTGACAACTACGGCCGTATCAAGGGTATGTGGATGGCATGCTTCTGGTGTATGGCCGGGGTTATCCTACAAGCCTCTGCTGTCAACCTTGCACACATGCTTTGTGCACGATTCGTCGCTGGCATGGGTGTGGCCTTCATCCTCGTCATTGCGCCTATGTGGACAGCCGAGCTTTCTGCTGCATCACACAGAGGCAAGCAGATCGCCCTAACATTCTTGGCCAACTTCTCTGGCATCGCCCTCGCGGCGTGGATCGGCTTTGGCACATCCTTCACTGAGGTAGGTGGTGGACAGTTTCGCTGGCGGTTTGAATTTTCAATTCAAATCATCCCCGTAGTGTCCCTGGCGATACTGAGCCTCTTGGTCCCGGAGTCCCCGCGATGGCTGGTCAAAGCCGGCAGACGTGATGAAGCATTGGAAATCATTGCCAAGCTGCGGGGAGATGGTGACTCCCAGCATCCCGCGGCGCAAAAGGAATATCGAGAGATTGTGACAGTAGTAGAAGAGGAGTCTCAATTCGCCAAAACCAACTACTTCAAGATGTTTTTCGGGATCGGATCCGGAGACATTCATCTTGGCCGCCGCATCCAGCTTGCCTTCTGGCTCCAGGTGCTCATGCAGTATGGCACTGGAATCGCAGCCGTGGTCATATAGTAAGTCATTCTTTGATAATGATACAAGCTGCTAACTGCATTGAAGTTCTGGAACCATCTATCATACAGCCGGCTTTGACAACATCAAGTCCGGTTGGTTGTCCGGTTTACTGATGCTGGTTGGTATCTTGGGTACAGCCATTGCGGCCTTTACTATCGATAGGGTAGGTCGCCGAAGAACTCTTTACTGGGGTGCTGTAGCACTCGGTATTACCTTGTTTATCATCGGTGGCCTCTTTCGGGGATCCGTTAACCACCCAGACAAGGCTGTTCAGTACGGCACAGCAGCTTCAGCTATGGTTTTTGTCTACCTCTTGATCTTCAGTTCTTCTTGGCTATTGATCCCCTTCATTTATCCTACCGAGATCTTTCCCACCTGGCTCCGAGCCAAGGGAAACGCATTTGGCGTGGCTGGTTGGGCTGTGGGCTACGGTGGAGGTTCACTCTTGGTGCCTATTATGTTTTCAGGCATTGACGAAAAGGTATGGACGTGCCTCAACTACCCATGAACTTCTCATTTCTGACTTGGCTTGCAGACTTTCTATGTGTTTGGAGCGTAAGTATCCCTCGACTTGCTCGAAGCTGAAATTGGCTACTGACCTTTTCTCCAGTGCTATGTTTGCATACATTCCCTTGGTGTACTGCTTCCTCCCCGAAACTGCCGGCCGTACATTGGAAGAGGTTGACTATCTCTTTGCTAGTAAGAGCCCATTCACTTGGGACGAGGAGAAAGAATTCGCGAAGCGTACAGCTCTCTTGCATGAAAGGTTGAATGAAGGGAAGATCGGGAGCAACTCGATGACGCAGGACAAGTCAATTGAATCACATATCGAGGTTGTATAAGCCATATTCTTTATTATGCTACATCTAGCTAGAAGCTAACTAGCAAGAGTCGTACGGGCTGAAATAGCTATGGGAATGGAACATTGTGGAGTCTTCCATTTACTGCCTGTGTTTACAGACTAAAGCTTAACCGTATACGTAGCAGTCATCCCCATAGCTACAATACAATATCTTGGTAATATAGCTTAGTTAGTAATAGATTTTCCCCTTTAACGCTCTGCACGATGGTCTAAGCTTATATGGACATTTGACTGTTCCAAGTCGTGCTCTAGCAAGAATATAAATGTACTTTTAGTTCTGGTGACTATTAATGTCATACATCAACGAACCCATCTTGGACCCACGTGCAATTTGCATCCCATGACCAATCTTGACAGAGCATGTTTAAAACATCATCCACCTCCAATCCATTCGACCATAAACATGAATCCTGATCTAAGCACTCACGACCGTTCATGTCTGGTTCAATGCAAGACTGTTCTCCTTGGCGCATCAAATCGCAACTTGTTTCAAAGATTTGGCTCACAACTCCTTTGCTACAACGCGCGGTCAATGACCAATCCTGCATCTCCTCAAAGAGCCTCAAGGCGGTCTGTACCTGACTTCGCCACTCAGGAACAGCAGCGCTCTGAGGTTTCCACAACATGCTAAGTAGAGGTATCATGGCAGCCTGGTAAAGGAACCACACTGCGTTCCATCCCGACATCTGATGGCTCAGCCACGTCTTGGCTACATCTTCAATGGCTTTCTTCGAAAGCTCTTGGCACTTCTCGATGGCGCTGTGGTCGACTTCCAGCTCCGTTAGATGGCCAGTTGCAGCGTCCAAGAGTGTTGGACGATATAGAAGCATGCGCAAGTTCCAGTATCGCCATCTCATAATGCACCGAGCAAGACGAATCGGTTCATCAACGTCTATATCATCGGTAAGGATGGAGGGCAGGCGACTATGCCAATTTATCAATTCCTCATCGAACCGGTTTCGGTCTTCCGCGTTGAGAACTGAGGTTACGGCTAGGCTATCCTGTATCTCAGTTGCAATTCGGCAAAAGCGAATGTTCTCAACAAGCGTCGCCATTCCCATGTCTTGCCTATACTCCTCTTCTCCATCGAGATAGAGCTTGGGCAATTGGATATCAATGGAAGGAGAGAAACGACCAAAAGAGGGCCTACCCAAAGTCGTGGTGGTCCAAGTGTCCAGGCAAACAAGAGACCACCAAGTACGCCGCCTCACTTCTGCTGCTTCAAATTGATCGCCGTCTCCGTCCTGTTGTGAAGGCTCTCGATGGAAGCCAAGTGCACTCGCCATCCGAAAGGCCGCACCAAGAATTGCATTGCCTCTATTGGGTCGGTTGATATAGTGAAGATAGTAGCCTCCAGCAAGAGCAAGGGCCTGTAGCGTTTCGATGCGACTGCTTCCAAAGGCGCTGAGGTCGAGGTGTCTCATGGCTGCGGTGTAGAACTTGCAATGATCCCGGTCACTGGACTTACTAGATACGATACTGCCCATGGCCAGGACCATATTCAAGAGAGCAAGCCAAGGCGAGTCCTGACGTTGACTACTAAGGTAATTCGTTCTAAATGAGGTTTCGTCGATCATTGGGGTAAAGATATGGATCCGCTGGAAGTATGCATCAACTAGTGCCTGTCCTTTGCTGCTCCATTTGATGCGAGGATATTCTGACAAGGGCCTGGAGGGATGATAGCAATGTCGAACCTCCTCATGTCTAGCGTTGGTACTGTTGATGGTTGTCTGGCGGGAGGCTAGCAAACCACGTAACTGAGGTCGAACATGAAGCATAGCTGCAAGCGCTGCTCTGATGGAAGAAATGCCAAGATACGACGCCTGTCGGTCAAACGGCAGAGACAGTGCATTAACATCATCAGCCTCAGCAGGTAAGGGGTCTCGCTCACGTCTCTCCTCGTCCCATTGTGAGTCTTGAGTAACAGACTGTTGAGGGGTACTGTCCGAAGGAGACGGCAAGACTTTATCAGTCGAACGTCCACGTAACATGGCTTCACGAAGCTCCTGGTCTGATAGCGAGGTCAAGTCCGAAATCCTGTGATTCGGGAAAAGGCGATTTAGAATGGAGTCGCGTTCTTTGAGACTTTTGGATAAGCTCTCTAGTGTTCTGTTACGATGATTAGAGCTGTGCCATGGACAGCGTGACTCTTGTCAATTGAGTTGAGGACGGACCTCTTTGAAGGCACGACACGTTGGATTTGTTGGGTGTAGACGCATCTTGCCTGCAAATCCCTCGACTCGCACTGGTTACAAGGTTTTCGGCCGTCGCAGCGTATCTTTCGCCGCTTGCAGTTACCGCATGCATGGAGACCTCGCGCAGGCTTTGGCTCTTTAAGTAACCCGGAGCCTGAGGGCTCAACAAAGCCCTGGACTTTTGAAACACGCAACAGTTAGTGAGAGTATTATGATCAGAGATAGCCAAACTCACAGGTAGAGAACATGGTGAGCTCAGATGCGGGGCACCACTAGTTGTTCTACTTGAACAACTTCGAATGGGCAAAGGTGAAGGTAAAGCTACCAACCTGGACGTGAGGAAATGGCAAATATGAGTCGCGGAGTGGCAAGATTGCATGTCTTACGAGCATGGCCCAATCTCATCACATACACGTGGTACAAATGCGGAGTGCGGCGTATTGTGCTCCGTACGTGGGTGATTCTGAAAATCTGGGGAAATAACTGCACTCCAACGTCGACAGAAGTTAGTGGGGACAGCTGCTAGCCAGGACAGGAGCGGCATGATAGCATCCGAGGCTTGATTGGGACTAGGCAGCTACTTTTAGCCTCGGTTACGACATGGATCTACATCAAAGGCTCTCCACTTACCCGAGAGCAGTAGCAGTAGGTTGTATATTCAATCCATTCTGTTTAACAATCTCTTTTCTTGGTCAGATCATGTATTAAGTTCTTGACAGTAATTGACCATACACACCTGAGACAACTTGTTCTCTCTCCTTTCACTCAACCAACACATATTTATGGAACATTACAGGGCTTTTCAGCACAGTTACCTCCTCCGTGCAAACAAGCTCGTCGTGTATCCCTGAAGTTTTCGAACTGCTGCACTGTAACCCCAGCTTTACACACACCATAGTCAGCACGATGCGTTTCCCCACTATTGTTTAGACGTAACTAGCCGTTTCAAGGACTACCTGGAATCTGGAAAATGGCAGCGTTTTGTGCCCATTACCTGGAGATTCGAAGGGCCGAGTTGTATGAAGGACATTAGGCAGCAGATCTATCGCGAAGTACAAGACACATACAGAGAATTTGTTCTATACTACTGGCTCATTCTTAAGTAACTATCAATGGTACTTTTTATATATTTATATTATAAACATATATATTTACCGCAGCAGTATGTCTTCAACCGGTTTATCTAGGTTTTTAGCCTCGCCAAACATTAATCCATCGACATAACACCAGCTGACAAGAGTCCATGTCTGCACTGGAGAAGATATCATCTCTTCATCAGCAGTTAATGGGTCAGGTCGCAGTACAAGCGGTACTCGGCAGCCCGGAACTGTACACACAACATCCCCTTGCATGGTAGGTTCTGGCCCAATACCGAAGAAACCTTGGCTAGTTGCGAATGCCTTCATTGTGTCTATACGGGGCCTTATTATGCGGTGGTACTTATTGGACTCAATTTTTTGAAGATCCTTTTGTCGCGAGCTCGACTGTACCCACCGTAGCCACTCATCAAAATGCCGGCGGTGCTCATCCCATCCTGGCATACCGACTCTCAGCCGGTTGTCGTCGATATCGAGACCCATAATGAGAGACTCAGCTAATCTATCCATCCAAGCTTCCATGGAAAGGTTGCCCGCTAGTCGTGTTCTGAGTGCCAGAACAGATTTGACTGCTTCTCGCTGCTGCTTTACAACCCAGGAAGCGAACGGGGGGCAGATAACGTGTATTGTATCGATTGGCTTGACATGGAGTCGAAGCCGACGTGGTGACTCAGTATCGATCTTTGGTGATGTTATCAAGCATCCGCCTGCATCCCAGCCTGCGCTATCGCAAAGAACAAGTGGCTCATCGTAGGCATGGCATCGAAGATCGGGGGCCCAAGTCGGTATGTTGGAATGTTGCCGCATGTAACCCATCCAGGAAAGGGCTAGAAGGTCAAGGGACTCCCCATTGCAAAGGAGTGCTTCCGCTGTAGCAATGAAAACTTGCTCTTCAGTGATTCTGTAATTCGCTTTTGGTACTGGTCGGTTATCCGCAATACCGTGAAAAGCAAATACTTTGTCGCAGGTCCTTGTCGCTTGGCAATGATATGCAGCCTGAAGGAGAGTCTCATAGCATACTCCACTTTCTCCCTCATGCGCCTTCTTCTGGTATTCTTCTCGTATATCAAGCATCCTGGTAACACACCAAAACCCAAGGATGGCTGAATGATCGTCTTGATAGCGACCTAAGCCAACAAATGAGTTCCAAATAGCAGAAACGCCATCTGAAAAGTGGCTCAGATCTACGCAGTCCTCACCACAAACCACCTGGATGTTCTTCCCTGCAGCAACCTCCTGAATTACCCACACTCTTTGAAACCATGGGCGTTGAAGTAGAAGTAGCATGCTCTCCAGTCCAGACTCATCAGTCTCGTGCCAATCGGGTCTTGAGAGCCTGCGGTATAAACTCCGAAATTTATCGTAAAAAGAGGTTGATCTGACCAAAGGTTCTGGTGTAGTCTCGATGTCATTTTCGTCTCGTTTCATGAAACGGAATGCACTTTTAGTAACATCATCACTGTTGCCCAGCCAAACCAAGACTTCCGCGGACCGAGAATAAATCTTTCCCATGAGGGGAACTTGGAACTCCTTCTCCGCTGTGTCTTGCTGGTTGATGCAAATGGCGTCGATCCAGACAGTGAACATTGAGGATTTTTTCTTTAAAGAGCTAACAAGATCCAGCAGCGTCTGGCTAAGAGGGAGAGAGTCGCCATTGTGAAACTCAATTCTCGCTATGTCTGCTGAATTGTCCCAGCAGTAGGAAATAGCGGTGTATTCTGGAGGGTCGTCGAGAGGCACTACCCTGAAGTTGCAGATAGGCTTAGAATTTCCTCCTTTAAAATTGACATCCAAGATCCGGATGTAGTTCCCAAAGAGAGGGGGATATGTAATATTCATAATGATTTAGATATAAATGGCAGAGCCATAAGGATTTAGCCAAAAATTGAAAGAGCGGGGAGGACTGGTTTGTGGGGCCAGGGAAGGATAACTTTAGCCTGTTCTGGAACTGTGAGTGTGGAATGTCTGTTGGTGTTCAGTGGGGTACAGCGTGAGCAGCCTGGACCAAGTCTAGGGAGGAAAGAAAACTCAGAATCTTGATCCTAAGTGATAATAATACTTAGGTAACTTAGTCTAAGTTTAGTATAGCCTTAGGATAATCTTTGCTGAGTTTATTTTGACGCCCTGCATTAAGGTCCGGTGTTTTCTTGCCCCCCAAGGCAAGTCCAGAATCGGAGACGGAAGCGCTCATTCCGCGGCTCATGAATGCCTTAATCCCGTATCAAAATTCGGCAACTAGCACGGAGATTGGTAGCTCCGATCAAATGCGATCGTATCCATAACTAATGCCAAACATACCATTTATTCTAAGCAGCTCACAAGCAAAGGCATTAAAAACTATCATCATTCCCAGCGTCCAAATTCGATATTAAGACTCAAACACCAGAGATCATTTATACGTCCTTGGCACCCTTTCTTATCGATAAACAAACCTAACAAGCAGTCTTTGGCACCCTGATCATGATGCTTCCCATGGCACAAAGAACGTTGCTTGAGAAGGGATGGTCATTCAAGAAAGCAACAGATGGCCTTGATGCTTGGAAACCCGTGGCCAGAGTGCCGACAGTTGCCCACATTGACTTGATCGAGAATGGAATGTTAGTACACAGTCTTCTTCACCTTCCCAGGTGCTAATCGATGACCTCTCTAGCATCCCTGATCCATTTCTCGATATGAATGAGCTCGAAGTCGAGTGGGTTGGAGAGACCGCTTGGGTTTACCGCACTACCTTTAGCTCGCCCTCTGCCAACGGTAGATCTGTGTATCTTATCTTCGAGGGTCTTGATACTTTTGCTCAAGTCAAGCTCAACGACGTTGTCATACTCGAGAGCGACAATATGTTCCTTAGCCACCGTGTGGATATCACTAACAAGCTTTCTGACGAGGGGACCAATGTGTTGAGCATCGATTTTGACAGCGCACTACTTAAGGCCAGGGAGATCACAAAACAATATCCTGATCATCGGTGGGAGCTGTTCAATGGAGAGGCCGGACGCTTGGTTGTGAGAAAAGCCCAATATCACTGGGTATGTACCATGAATGGAAGGCAAGAGGCCTTTTGCTAAACTAATACATAGGGATGGGATTGGGGTCCCGTGCTTAACACTGCAGGTCCATGGAAACCAGTCTGGCTTGAAGTTTCATCTGCCCACGTAAATGACTTCCTCATCAATTACAGGCTTTCTCCAGACCTCAAAAAGGTTCAGGGCACAGTTGAAGTCGATGTTGAAGGGAATTATGACACGGCAAATGTCACAATCCAGTTCCAAGACAATGTCGTCTATAGTACAGCAGCAGCAAAGTCTTCCAGCGACGACCTAGTTATCCCATTTACTATAGGTACCAGCCATACGCGCTTTTCCAAGTTTTAAATACTAACATCTACCGATTAGATCAACCGAAGCTGTGGTATCCCGCTGGATACGGTCATCAGTCTCAGTACACCGTGAGTGTCAGTATCTTCAAAGACAGTCAGAAGCTCGATGCAAAGACCAAAAAGACTGGCTTCCGGAAAAGCGAACTTGTTCAAAATGGAGACTCCCATGGCAAATCGTTCTTTTTTAGAATTAACAATATCGACATCTTCTGTGGTGGCTCGTGCTGGATTCCTGCCGACAACTTTCTACCTCGAATCACCACTGCCAAATACCGGGAATGGTTAAAGCTCATGATAGAAGGCAATCAGATCATGACGAGGTAAGGGGAAATCGATGAGTCTGATATATCGGTGCAGAATCACTGACACAATGGGATTTAGAGTTTGGGGCGGTGGCATCTATGAAGACGATGCTTTCTATGACTGCTGCGATGAGATGGGCATTCTTGTTTGGCAGGATTTCATGTTTGGCTGTGGAAACTATCCTGTGGGGCCAGCGCTCATAAGATCGATTCGCGAGGAGGCAGTGCAGAACGTCAGCCGACTGCATCATCATCCTTCCGTCGTGGTTTACGCCGGCAACAATGAGGATTACCAGGTTCAAGAGCAGGCTGGTCTGGAGTACAATCCAGAGGACAAGGATCCTTCTTCTTGGCTCAAGACTTCTTTTCCTGCTCGGTACTACTACGAGTATCTTTTACCAGAGGTAGTCAGTGAGATATCTCCAGGGATGGCATACTGGCCTGGGTCCCCATTTTCCGGAGGTAAAGACACGACTGACAAAACTACTGGAGATCTCCATCAGTGGAACGGTAGGTGACGGCAAAGACTTCCGGCTGCTCACGCACTGACATCTCCACAGTTTGGCATGGCACACAGGAGAAATACCAGGTGTTTGATAGGCTTGGTGGCAGGTTCAACAGCGAGTTTGGCATGGAGGCTTTTCCAGCCTTATCGACGATTGAGCACTGCATTACCAAAGAGAGCGACCGCTTTCCACAGTCTCAGATGATGGATTTTCACAATAAGGCAGATGGCCACGAACGACGAATTGCTACTTACGTAGTGGAGAATTTTCGTCCTCTTCCAGACCTTGAAGTATGGTTTCTCCTTTTTCAAAAGCCTAGCTCTATTGCTGACCCCTCATCCTCATCAGTCGCACATATACTTGACGCAGCTTTGCCAAAGCGAAGCCATGACTTTTGCGTACCGCAGTTGGCGTCGTCAATGGGGTGATGATCGCCGATGCGGCGGCGTTCTGGTCTGGCAGATGAACGACTGCTGGCCCGCCATCTCATGGTCCATCGTCGACTATTTCCTCACCAAGAAGCCAGCTTACTATTCTATTCGTCGAGCTCTCAAACCCATCGCTGCCGGCATCCAACGGCAACACCATGACTGGAGTGTTGTTCATGCCAGGCCAGCGAAGACTTCTTCGTTTGAGGTTTGGGTTGCGAGTAGTAATCAGCAGGAGGTAACTGTCACTGTTGAAATTCGCTTCATTTCAATCAGTACTGGTAGGGACATCAGGGATAAAATCGTAAAGGGCAACGTGGTTTTGCTTCCAAATGGTACAACTGATATCCTCACTGGACAGATTGATAACGCAACGGATGAGCCACATGTCATATCCGTCAGTGTTATGCAGGGTGACACTTGTGTCTCTCGAGACGTCGATTGGCCTCAACCTCTTAAGTATCTTGACTTCTCCGATAGAGGCGTTGAGGTCCAGGTCGGATCAGATGGATATCGGCTCACGGCCAGCAAACCCACCAAGGGCCTGGTCTTTAAAGAGGTATCTGGTGTTTCTTTGGAGGACAACTGTGTAGATCTCATCCCGGGCGAAGTTGTCACTATAAAGGTTGGGGGAAGTAGAACGCTATGGGATACCCCAACATATAGATACCTCCATTAGGATGACCTCTCTATATTTACAATCTTGCCTTCAACAACTCGGTGTCCTTTACCCACTTGCCGCCAATTGGGCGTCCTCCGCGCAAACGCGTCAACGCGACACCATCTTCGACAGGAGCGAACAGAGGCAATCCTGTCTGCGCGATGCCATAGTCACGAATCACCGCCTGACCTCGGGGCGACACAAGGTACAAGAAAAATCCGCGTACGTGGCGTGCCGCAGGGATATCCGCCTTTACCATATCTGGTGAAAATGAAGCATAGCAACTGTTCATCAAAATATCCTTTGAGTGAGTTGGCTCGAAGAAGATGGTAGAATTGGAAATGGTGCCAAGTCCAGTCTGTCGCAAAACTGTTGACCGATCAATTAGGAAGTAGGCACCAGCGGCATCAGCCCCTTTAAGAGCCTCTGGTGGCGATAGAATGCTTGTCTTGTACCAGGATGATGTTGACGCTTGGTCTTCCCATGGCTCCCGGCCAGTCAGAGACCAGATTTCGCGTTCTTTCCACATAGTTGCAGAATGGTCGACACGGCTGTGAAATAGGCTGCCCGAGGCAGCGATCTTCTCGAAAGCATTAGGTAATGAGTCTGCGGATGCCAGTCCCGCAGGGTCTGTAAGGGGCCCGGCTAGGCAAAAGTGGTCGTGAAATACGCATCCAGCCGTGTATGACCATCCTTCGGCCTGAGCTAAAGCTTCCTGGTCGCGTTCATAAGTCAAGGCAAAGTCAATGAACCCTTTCAGTAGCGCTAGCTGCGTGTTGCGGGAGTGGTTACACATCCACTCAATCAAACCATGGTTGCGTCGAGCCTCCAAGTAGTCTTGGGCAAGTTCTTTGATCAAGCCAGTAGCACCTGCACCGCCGTTTCTATATGGATGGTAATTTTTAGTGGCTTGTCAGACAAAGGCTCAGATAGATAGATAGATAAGGGGCTGTTCAACTGAGTCTCACATACCCGATTCGGAGCAACACATCTCCAGTTTTGCCATACGTTTCAAGAGCATTTGCATCAATCTCGCCGTGTGAGATAATGGCGGTCGAGCGCGATGACATGGCGACAGATGAGAAGAGCTTTCAGCAATGAACTCACAGTAATAACAAAAGAGGTTTACTCCACCATTTGGTAGAATGAGCCATGAGTCATTCCCGCTAATAGAGACGGCTGTGTTTCCGTGTAACCTATTGGCTAATCCTGAAAAGTAGATCCACAGCCCTAAGCCGACGTTATCGCTTCCCCGCAAATGACAACAGGCCCCTCCCCACATCTTTTGCTGAGTACTGGGCCTGGGGTACGGAGTCGTTGCGCAACTGACAGCAATAGAGGAAATTCCCGAACCATACCTCATATGCTAGTAAGCCAAGTAGTGGCAAATATAAATTTCAGCTCTTGGATTATTGAAGTTGAGACTTTGCTCCTTTGACATTTCGGTTCCAGGTTTCTGTACAAGTCTTATCTAAATTCTTTACGCCCTAACCCCGGCAACTGTGAGTATAACTAGGATCTAATCTTTTAATATATATAAACGAAGTTCTATTATTTCTGCCTCCGCTTTTTGGTTTGCCTGCTGAACTAATATATATAGACCCTTATTTGAGGTTTCCCCTAAATCTATCGCGATATGTCTAAGTCTTTTTATTACTGAGGTTTTTCTACTCGAGGTTCCTCAGTTTCACTACCCTACAGACTAAGCGTCTATATTTAGCACTTCTCCACCACAACCCCTGTGTATCATAACAAACCCATTGTAATTGGACCAAGTTGCCCCTTTTTAGCGCGTCAGTCAGATTCTCCAGCCATCGATTTATGGGTAAGCACGCTGGCCGTCAAGAAAAAAATAACTTGAGACATCATAAGGACTCTGATCTGACCATCCTCATCAAGACAAAAGACGTATACTGCAGCTTTCAAAATGTCCTCAACAGCTGTACCGGACCCGAGCTCTGGCGGAAGCAGTGACGACAACACCGAGCTCATTATTGCCGTGGTTGCGCTGGTCATCTCCGTCTTGGCCTTTGTCATTGCAATTCTCCAGGCGCTACAGCAGTATCTCGCCACAGCGACCGGTTTCTCATCATGCAGTGAAGCCGTCATAGGTAAATGGGCACAATTTACCCGGCGCCGGATGATCTGGTCCGAGTTCCGTTTCGAGGTCCAGTTCGAGGCTCCAGTCATCTTTGTCGCCAAGCCCAGCAACACCAGGGGACCACTTGGAGATGATGCTCTCGCCAAGGACGAAAGCAAAAAGATCATTCGCCTTGATGGCGGTAACGATAACTTTAAATACACAGATACCGTCAAGGAATTCGACAACGAGTACAAGCAGAGCACGCAGCGAATCATCCATACGGCTGATAATGAGAAAGCTACCTGGTATGGCTTGCTCATGGCTATTGTCAGAATGGAGAAAGAGTCTCGCGAGTGGCAAGGCAAAAAGTCCGCTGAGTGGGTCAAGGCGGCTGGCCCTCGCCCACCGATTGATACAGAAGAGCCTCATGCTCATCACTCGCTAGTCGTCTGTATGCAGAGAAAGAGGCGTACGTGGGATAGCATGCCCAAGGACTTTGCCAAACCATATGCCACAACCACAATATCGCATCTCGTAGAGATTGCAGGAATGCTGGGCATCCATTGGAGGAAGTTTGATCTCAATACCGACCAATATCGCGGTCAAGGTAACGGGTTTGTTCTATATGGCTCATACACGGATGGTCTTGGTATCACCTTCAACTTTCAGAAGCAAGGGCCAACCTGGTTCGAGAAGAACCGTGTGATCCCCAACTACAACGTCAAGCAGCTATGCTTCGGCATAGCCCCAACGATCTTCAACCAGGAGAAGAAGGTCTATGCCGACGAGGCCAAGGGAGCAGAGAGTCTTCAATTGGGAAGCTTGGCAGAGATTGCAAAAACGCTTGTGGTGCTTGGATGTGATATCAACACAGTCAACTACTTCCGAAAGCCTGACCAAGCACGCCACACTCACCTATTTGCGGGTAAGTTGCACTCTACTGGGTTGGTCCAAGAGAAAACTGACCTTGAGCAGTTCCGTTCGAAATTCTTGGCATGGTCGGTGAAATGCTTCATATCAAGGGCACAGTCTTCCGTATGCTTCCAAACCCTACTGTGTTCTACTGGGATCCCAGCTCCTTTTCTCTTTCAGCACTGATGGCGGAATACATCAACTGTTTGAGGCCTCTCCATGAGGCAGCTTTGAAGGATAGCGAGCAAGTAAGCAAAATCCTCAAGTGGGCAGAAGCAGATGAAAAGTTTCCGCTCCTACGGACAGAAGGATCTACGCTAGATATCTTTGGCGAAGAGATTAATGGTGCAAACTTGGTCAATCACCTCAACAATCTCCGATCTGGAGTCGAATTGTGTGATGAGTACTTTGGCAGAATGAAGAAACATGGATTATCCATGATCAAGAGAGTTGTGCGTATGCATATTCAAGAGGTCATGGGTATCCTACACGAGAAGAACGAAGTCGACGAAACCACGAAGAACGATGAAAACGATAAAGCTGTTGGCGACGCGCCGATTACCATTCATGACATTGATTCTGCACCAGGCGAAGACAAAGAGACTCTCCTTGTTCAAATGTATTTTGATCGCGTTCGACAAAACGTCGTCCGGAATCTCAGCAAACAGGGCCTGCTAAGCAAGCGCATGAAGGCAAGAAAAGATTCATTTGTCTCAGAAGATGACATGAGTACAACCCGCCCCAAGCACGGGGCAAGGTTCGGGGACAAGGAGCTCAACGAGGCGTGGTGCGTACTCATGTTCCGCATGCTATGCTGGCTACAACTGCACGACTTCCACAAAATGGATCTTCACATCAGTAAAAGCGATGCATACGCGAGCCGCATCCCTGTTTATATTGTCTGATAGCGGCAAAATCGGAATGCTTTTGAACGGATAGTTTGTATTACCGATGTGTTATAACGGAATCGCCCAGCGTCTAGATACCTCATGAAATGACCAGAATAGCTTTGCTTCCTTGTATCAAGAACCTATTTATTGCAGTGTGTAAGTAAGTTGTGTGGTCGCTGATACCTACCTGGCTACAATCGCCATCGACAGGGCGTACAATGTACCTTTATCACTTTTGCACCGGTAGATTCGGCAGAGCCGAGGGTCATTAATGGATCTTAGAGGTCCACTGGGTCAAGGATAATGGATTTTGACTCTTGGGCATTGAGGCAAGCTCAGCAGACGTCCGTGCTGGCTACACTTTTGTCTTTTGGTATGTGGGTCATGCTTCGAACACGAGACCTCGGTGTCTTTTGTAGACATAGCTACAGCTCCCTTGGCCATCTTAACCATCGGATCCATAACTCCTGTGAAGCCCAACCTGGAGTCAATTTGTTGCATGTGTGAATGATACCGAAATTACCAAGGTCAGTGAAGATTGAAAGGAAGACGGCATATTGATTAGTAATGACCGGGCAGACATTTGAGATGTTGATGCCGCAGTCAGCAAAAAGCATTCTTACAGTAAAGAGCCATGCTTTAAGCTCTCGCAGTGTTCGCCAATGACATGACCCTTCTACTGGAATCATACATAAATCGCGCATCATTTAGTTCCAAGTGAAGGGGCTAATTTCGGCAACGGTTTTACATAGAGCAATCGTACGATAGAGAAACTATGATCATCAATTCGGCCCCTCCTCTATTAGTACGGGGTACTGTGTACTGGTCTTATTACGTCTGACACCTACGGAAGTGCGTAACTAGCCTCTGAATTAAGCTTTGGACCCCTGAACTATTGGCTCTCTCACCCTGACGGCTTGATCAATGCGTTTTTGCGATTGGCCTTCGTCCTATTTATTTATTAGTGCATCGTTCTGATACCTACTTTGGTTACAGTTAAGCCAAACCACGAGTCAGGAGACGACCAGATACTGCTATGTCCGCTATGATAGATGATTAACTCGCACTAGTTGTAACGCAAACTCCCTACTGCAAAGTCCCGACGGAATGGTTGCCTTGATTAGAGTTCAGACAAACCTCATGCTGGGCCACTTGCGATACTACGACGCGTATTGCACTGTCGATCTATGGAGACATTTACGAGTCATTATCTCAGACCAGGAAATGTCGGTAAGTACGTCTAAATACTACATGAAAACTATTACTGTATCGATACGAGACAGGGACAAAACAGGATCATAGAGTCAGTCCACAAGATGGAGTTGAGGTGGACTCGTCTCAAAAACTACCATGTCAGTAGCAAACTGATTGGAACGCAAAGAACAAGAGCCAAGACGCTCAGGTCATACCTCGCTATAAGGTGGGTCGCGTTATATTGCAGCAATACGTTACCGCTAATCACTTACTACATGGCATAGTACTAGAAGAACTGCTTATAAAAGCCCAGCCATATCTACTGACAAGTTTTCTTTATAATTCGCCATCAGCTCAACAGGATTACAATTGGGACTCTTCCACTTCCATATTCTACCAGCTCACAAATCAATCGGCTTTCCAAGGTAGGTTCATAAAGAATAGACATCACGCAGCCTGGATTAGTACTAAAAGCACCACCAGACTCAACACAGATATACAATGAAGCTATCTGCTGTCGGTCTCTTCTTTGGTCTGTTCGCCATGGCCAGCGCAAAATGCTACAACTGCTTCTATGCAAGCGGTTCGCCTCCTTGCGGCGCATGCCCCAAGGTTATCAACGGTGGATGTGGTGGTTGTATTGGCGGTTGTCCTGCTGCGGAGGGTGGAACTTCGGCTGTTCAAGAGGTGCCCTGTTAGATAGTCCTGGTGGCAAAATCACTTTTAAGGAGACCTATGGCATTACTTCTAGCCTAGAAAGCTTGAGTAGTTGAGGAAAAGCCGAACTTGGTCAGGAATGAAATGTGTTCGGTGATGTATTGCCGAGTCACCAACTTCCGTGTGCTGCAACCTCATTAGTGAACTATACCTATTGAGGAAGTGCGAAACGCATCTTTACTTCGATGATGAAGTCTCACTTGTCAAAGAACCGGCTACTTGCCGGTGGAACGTATTGGATATCTAAATGTTATTAAGAATGCCCGTTCCGATCTTTCCAAGCAGGTATTTAACTGAGCAATAAACACAAGCTATACCGCCAGTCTGTGCTACTTCTCAAAGGTTATTGAGGTTCTCAGCCACAAGTCTCAATCGTACATAACACATAAAATCTTGACCTTTTCACAAAGCTTATCACTCCTTCTGCGCATCTTGGTCTTCACTGACCTTCAATTCAACGCTCCAACATGATGCAGCGACTTTTCAAACTTTCCAACCCGGATCTTCTCCACGAAGCATCATACGTCCACGGAGAACGGATTCAAGCAGCGTCTGGCCAAACCTTTGTCATCATTGATCCTGGTAGTGGCATTGATTGGGCTACCTGCCCTGACAATTCTGCTGAAGATGTCAACAACGCAGTCCAATCTTCTTATAGAGGCTTTCTTGAGTACAGAGGGTACACTGCACGTAAAAGAGCCCAGTTATTACTAGAATGGCATCGCTTGATCGGTGAGTCTAAAGAAGATCTTGCAAAGCTTATTACATATGAAACTGGAAAGCCTCTCGCCGAAGCACGAGGAGACTATTCTCTAGGCTTCGCTTGGTGGTTTGCTGGCGAAGCTGAACGGATCCAGGGCATAATTGGGGCGTCCAGCTATGCAGAAAGAAGAGTGCTTACGATCAAGCAACCTATTGGTGTGGCTGTCGCTCTGGTCCCATGGAACTTCCCCATTGCCATGACCATGAGGAAGGCCAGCGCAGCTTTTGCTGCCGGCTGCTCTATGATTGTCAAACCGTCACCCGAAACGCCTCTGTCTTGCCTGGCACTAGCAGATCTAGCCACCAGAGCTGGTTTCCCAGCAGGCACATTCAATGTTCTAACGACCTCTTTGGAAAATACTCCTGGACTTTCCGAGGCTTTATGCACTCATCCTTTAGTCGCTAAGGTGACCTTTACAGGCAGCACTAGGGTGGGAAAAATTGTTGCTGGTCTTTGCGCTCAAGGTCTTAAAAAGTGCACACTGGAGCTTGGCGGAAACTGTCCCGTTGTTGTCTTTGATGACGCTGATATCGGCCAAGCAATCGGCCAGATCATGGCATTGAAGTGGAGGAATGCGGGCCAAGCATGTATTACGGCAATCGAGTTTATGTTCAAGCCGGTATCTACGAAAAATTTGCTACTGCCTTCTCTGAGGGGACCAGCAAGTTCAAGACTGGTCATGGTGCTGACCCCACCAACAACTTTGGGGCTGTCACTACGCTTTCCGGTCCTGAAAAGGCTGAATTACAGGTCAAGAACGCTCTCGAAAACGGCGCTAAGCTCAGAACTGGATCAGGAAAACCTCTTATGCTGTCTTCCTCGGGAGATGGCAGCCAGTTTATGGAGCCAGTGGTTCTTACTGGAATGACACAGGATATGCAGATGGCTAAAGAGGAAACATTTGGTCCCGTTTGCGGCCTCTTCAAGTTTGAAACAGAGGAACAAGTCGTCAAGTGGGCCAACGACACCAGCCTCGGTCTTGCAAGCTATGTGTTTACCAAGAACTCAGACCGCTTGTGGAGGTTGTTTGAAAATCTGGAGGCAGGCATGATCGGCCTAGTAAGTAGCAGCAGTCTTTCCAATTTTACTGTCCACGAGAAACTGACATACTGTAGAATACAGGAAATGGCTCTGCAGCAGAGAGTCCCTTCGGTGGCATCAAGCAGTCTGGCTACGGAAAAGAAAGCGGCAAAGATGTTGCTGTAGCAGAGTATCTCGTTGAGAAAACCGGAACTTTAACAGTGATGTGATAGTTTTGATGGGCGACGAAGAATAATGTGAAGTGCTAGATTTACGTCGCGTATTTAGATGTTTTCTATATTAGCTGGGACTTGAACAAATATGATACATGACAAGGCGTGCTTGATGGCCTAGAGGTCTCGTAAGCTGGGTGTAATTCCTGTTCCTCTTAGCATGGAACATGATGACATTGTCGTGATGTGGTGTTAAAGGAGGAGGACCGCGAGAAGTTAGAACACCGCTCTTGTATAGACTTCGTGTTAAACAAAACAGCTGATCTATGGACTTATACACGGATTCACAGGGATGGAACTTTGAGTACCATGCTCTGTATCTATATTCGGAGCCTTCTAGTTAAGTAACTCACTCCCAGCAAAGTCTCCCAAAGCCGTAACATCCTCCAAGCACTGAGTAATAACATGTAGAGCTTTAACTAGATCCTCCTCTGTAATTGTCAACGGTGGACTAAATCTCAAACGATCCGCACCAATACCGACAAGGACACCATGATGGGCAGCGAGAGCCTGGACTCGTCGGGGGGTTACGCCCGGTACACTCTGATCGAGAACCAAAGATTGAAAAAGCGCGATTCCCCGAAACTCTTTTACATGTGGCGGGTTAAGCTCCTGGATCGTCTTCTCCAGAACTCTTCCAAGACGTTCAGAACGCTCCGAGATCTTCTCGTCTTCCAGGACATCTAACGTGGCGAGAGCAATAGGAGAAGCTCCAAAAGTTGAAAGAACTTCGTTTTTGTTTACCAAATCCATGACATGCTTCTTGCCCATAATGACAGACAGGGGGTAGTATCCTATAATAGATTAGTCGAGGATCATAATTGTGAGTAAATCGAACTTGACCAACCTCCCGTGATGCCCTTGGCCATTGTCACCATATCAGGCTCAAGCTCCGGTTCGTGGTGAAAGGAAAGGTCTTTTCCAGTTCGGCCATACCCAGCCTGGATCTCGTCACAAACCAAGAGGACATTATACTTTCTGCACAATTCTTGTGCACCCTTCAAGTAGCCCTTGGGAGGAACAATGGTTCTGGTAGAACGGTGAGCGATTGGGCACTAGATTTGACTGTTCGTTTAGTACTAACCCCGCCCAACCTTGGACTGGCTCCACGAAAAGCGCAGCAATTCTCTCGCCATCGTCTTCAAATACTTCTCTCAAAGCTTCTATGTCCCCAAAAGGAACAAGTTTACCACTTGTAGGAGCGTAAGGTCCAATGTTGGGAAGATGTTGTCCGAAATCTGCGTTCCATGGGTTTCAGCACAGGAAGTTGTAAGTTACAAATGGGGGAAACAACGTTTGTGGGAAGCTGTGGCCATGGGCATGGTAGACAGGGTCAAGCCGTGGTAGCATTGATCTACAGTGAGAACATGAGCCTGGTCCTGCGGGATCCCTTTCTTGAGATACGCCCATTTGCGTGCGATCTTGACGGCCGATTCCACTGCCTCAGATCCGCTCAGCATGGTCGCAATTGAGTCAAACCCGAATTTCTAACTGGATTAGAACTTGCCATCTCAAGAAAGCTTAGCTGTTATTCTGTCGTTACTTACTTTAGTGAGCCGCTCTGCGAATTCCACGTACAACGGGCTGATGTAAGCCGTTCCACTGAGCGGCATCTTGTGGACTTGGTCCGCAGCTGCTTTGGCGATCTTGGGATGAGAATAGCCAAAGTTCATGACGGCAAATTGGCCAATAAAGTCGATATATTCCTTGCCATCTACATCGATGATGGTGTGACCCTTGGCCGATTCAACAGCAACCGGTAGTGTTGGAAACCCCCCCCCTGATGTGCTTGGACCAAGTCTCTACATGGCGCGCAGTTTTCTCGGACAGCACGGGTATGCTGTTGAGTTTGCTGGTAGGTAACTGAGGGCTGGTTGCAGATGGAGCCATGGTGCAAATAGTCTGGAGCAACTGTAAGAAGTTGCTTATTGCTGCTGCTAGGACACCCCATGTCTTACGGGAGCTATTTATCCATGGCCGCCGGGCAGCTGGAGCATATCCAGTTAGCGCCTGATTACAGCGTGTGTGAGGCGCGTGATGNNGCAGTATACCGGCTACCCAACATAATTGCCTAAGATAAGCTACGATTACGGCTCGCATTTCCATGGTGGGAAAGGCAAGACTCGGAACCCGAAGTGACTTAAACTCTCAAAACTTCGTCTGAACCCAATCAAGAGCAGTTTGTGGAACCGGTTCGCAGACCGGAGCAACAGCCGGGAACGAACCCGTCCCCTTCTGTTCGTTGAGAAGGTTACGAAAGAGCGGGGAGTCTGTAGCATTATACCCATTTTAGGATGCGGCACGCATCTCCATTTTGGGCTTAAGCTGTTTTTCTATACTCCACTCAGAGCCTGCAGCAATTCATGGTTGATATCTGCCATACAGTCTGGAGGTTTGGAGCGCCCTATTGGCCATTGGAAACAGGTTCAATAGTAATTGCCTCGTTTAATAGATGCACTTAGAACTGCCATGCGAATTCCAATGTCAGCTTAAAACCGGTGCTAAGAAACTGTTCACCAGTGCAAGATATCTTTACCGGCTTAAATTCCGTTTCAAATAGGTATTTGCTAGATTATAAAATGCATTGCTTGAGAGTCCTTCATTCGGATGTTCATATCATCATCCATACAAGGGAAGTCCCAAGGCCCTTTGGGCACCAGGTCATGATATTCCCCATCACTCATACTCCAAATGTCTTCTGTCGAAGACATCATAAGCTCTCTAGAACGATCTGGATATATGGCTATCATCTCATCGTGCTTTTGGCGCACCCATTCACGGTCCCGAGGTACGATAGCCTCTCGCGCAGCAATATAAAATGGAATTGGCAATGAGGAGTCTGGCCCACAGCCGGGAGGGAGTCTATCAATAAGAGAGAAAAGATGCTTTCGGTAAAGTTGAACCCGACTTGACGTTGTAGGATCCATAAATACTCGCCGGGCAAGGAGAAGGTGCGCCATCCAGTAAAAGCATGCATTGAGGGTCCTTAGATGGTCATCTTGGGAGGGAGTGACAGACACAGGGCTGTTTGATCGAGGAGCTATATTCAGCGGCATCGGGTACTTTCGTGATCCCCAGTCTCGCATAGTCGTTTCGAGTTGATACGTTTGAGCGAGCCGTACGTCGTTCTCCAACTCAACGTCAGTTGCCAATATCGATATCTTCGCCAAAAAAGAAAGTACAGGCTGAGGGCAGCCAGTCAGTTCGCGAAAGGACGGCTCAGATACATCAGCTTCCTCATGCTGCTGATACAAGATGAAAGATTCGGGTGCGAGGGGCTTCCGGCGCCTCAAGAGAGACATGATGATATCAATCAAGGCAAATCGCTGCACTAAAAAGCGAGAATAGAATCCGTCAGGCATCTTGTCGATATATCGTAGTTCAACCACCAACTTGAATGCATTTAGAAGATGTGTGTCCGTCGTGAGGCTACCAGTCATAACCTCCGAAGCGATGTGAATGACATATGCTGCAAGGGTGACTTCTCTCAGGGATAAGACTGAAAACGCATGATTCTCTATGGATAAAGACGACTCTTCCGAAGTATTAAAAATTCGGAGAAATCGTTCCATACTCCGCAACGATCTCAGAGCTTGTGACCGACGCTCTTCCATAACTCTCAAGTCACCTCTGCAATAGCTGTACATATTTGCAGCCGACACATACAGGAATGTATGTAAGAGCAGTGGATATGAGATGGAGACTCTGCAAAGCTCACGAAACGGATTTCCAGGGCTATCGAGAGCTGGAATTCGAGGAGACGCATCGGTCATAACTGTGAAGGGATGATGTAAGTTTAGTAGGTCGACGACAGAGTTTAAAAACTTACAGGAGTTGAAAGCGATTTCCTCAGTGCAAGTGGTAAGGCTTGATGTGAGCGGTCCTAATCTGTGCTCAAAGGTCTTGGTGATACCAAATACGGGATTGGTACTAGAGTTTGATCCATCAACCCCATAATCGCGTTCAATAATTCCCAGCGACGCGCCACCGTCACTTGGGACAGAGTCCAACTGGACACTGTTCGGGTTCATCAACGATTGCTCGCTTATGCTGTCGCCTGTAGCTGATACATGATCCTCGTAGTGGGCGGATAATGTCGTAAGGTCTTGACCAATCATAAATGCGTTGAACCAGTTGCTGTCAAACTGCATATTTGGAAGGTCGTCGAAATATAAGCTCACGTCGCGGTTCCCTTGAGTCAAACCTTCAAAATCCTGCAGTGAAGGCATTTGCTGGTGTGTAGTGGCAGGGCTGATGGAGGTCATAGACGTGTGCAAAGTATCTAAAGTTGCTGCAGATCTAGAACAAGCCCCATCTCGATATTCACTGCCTCCTAAACGTAGCTGGTTGTCGTTATTGTAAGGCGCCGTGCCGAAGTTTGGGCTTTCACCTTGATCGAGAGTCTGGGTTTCGTTTTGGCATTGGTCCAAGACTTGGCCGCTGCTATCGCTTGGATGTGAATCTTGCCATCGGCCACGCTTACGCTGTTGTCGACCCCCATTCTGGGCCGGTCTTTGCCTCTCGTCTCGATTAACCCTTTTGGTACCTCCGTTGAACGAAACATCAGGAACAACAAACGCATCGCTGACGGGCGCCCAACGGAATTCGTTTGCGTAGTCGCAATTGCGGCCTGATTTTTGGCAGAGTGTACAGACAGGCCGTTTCTCATCGCATTTCCTATGACGCTTCCTGCAAGTCAGGCAACCTAGTGAATCGATTAGCCAGGTCACGATATGTGCACTGAGACAAAAACAAAGGACCGTTGTCTCGGACTACAGGTTATATAACTAAGATTGAGTCAAGACGATGGCGAAAGTAAGAATTATATATATAAATATCCTTCTTGTTGAACGCACCTTGTCGTGAGCGAATTTCTGGTCGCTGCATGATAAGACTGCTCTGCAAACAAATGGATTAGGAGAGGTGTGTGGAATTGAAGTCGCGGAGTGAAGGGCGTTGCGGGGTAAAGAAAGTGACCCGGGATCCCAAAAAGAGTATAACGTAAGGATTCACTAATTCGGTTGGTGTACTCGGTAGATATGATAGTATCTAGTGGCTGCACCGTCTGAAAATTATAGTAGAGGTTGGCGGGAATATGCAATTTAGTGCGCTACAACACAGCAGAACCCAGCATTGCGCAATAACCGATTGTATAATACAACAGCAGCCACAGCTTATAAGTCTGCATTGGCGACAGCCGCCGAACAACGGTCGAAAAAACCTTGACTCTAAACAACCAGAGTCTTAGTACTACTCATACGCTAATAAGACACTGAACCCGTGGAATCATAAACAGAGCTGTACTGCTAGTGATTCCGTGTCAATCATCTACCAAGTTCAATATGTCCCATGACAGAATCCATTCAGATCGGCTGACAATGATTGCAGAGTCTCTGGCCAAGTCCTATCTTTTAAATACAGCTTGCTGTGTGTTCACGTGCATCAGTGTTGCCTCGGCAGTTGGCTCGATACTGCACTACCTTGCATGCTAACAGCTTGAGCTGATCATCCGGCATGGAACCTACTCGCTAGCCGCGCACTGTATCAGGTTTTCGCATCAGCCTTAAAGTTAGTTCTGCTCACTAGTGGCTGCTTCAGAGCTCGCAGTCTCTCTACCTAGTAGAATGACTGTTGCGCTCGAGCCTCGGCTAGATTCCGTGTCGCAAGCTAGACCTAATTCTGAAAAGCGAACTAGATGGTAGCTTCTAATAATTTTCGTTCCCCCTGTTTTGCGCATATTCCTCTTTCCACTGCGTCATCATGAAGCCATGATCTGATTCCAGCGGCTTCGCTGTTTATGCTGCGGGATTCCGTCTTGGGTGCAGGGAAGTGATGATTGCTTTGACCTCTTAACATCCTTTACCCTGAAATCTATCGCGCAATATAAAACACCATTCATTTCCAACAAATTTCCACTTTGGCCTTACCGTTCAATATATGACTAGAAATCTGCACTGAAAATTGAATTACTCAACATGGACGCCAAACAATACAGCAGACCCTCGCAAGCACAAAAGCCACAGCGGCCTACCAATCTGGTGTTAGCACTTCGAGCACTCGTCCTTGGAGTCACAATTGCCGGGATCGCCGTCTCCTCTATCCCTGCCCCGAAGAACTTTATTGCAATTGGAATACTGGGACCAGCTGTAAGTGGACATATCATATCCACATTCTGACCTTGCATGTATTGACAAATTAGTTTGTCACGACTTTCTGCTGGTCGGCTATTGAAATTCTCTACCCTTTGGTCAGGATCTTCCCACCTGCATATGTATCATTCCGCATTCTTATCGACTGCTTCATTGTCATCGGATCGACAATCTGTCTGATATGCTTTGGTCTATTCCGGGATTGGTGGCCAGGTGGTAGTGCTCTCAGTTCAGAAGACGCGCCCTTAGCTCGAGAAATACTATTCCAAGCAGCTCTGGGACTCGCCTGCGCTTCAACGTAAGTTCTGCACCAATCCATCAAAAGATCAGTTGCTCACTCTCTACTTAGAGTTCTCGAGATTGTGATCTGCATCACCCAGCTTTTGGAAAAATAGTGGGTTGCCAATTTGGCCGGATAGAATCGTGTTAGCTGTAGATATGGAGGTAGTAATTATGCTAGAATAATCCATAAAATACTCCTGAACCCCAATCTTGTGTTTTCTTCCCTTTATCCGGATTATAAGAATCCTAAGTTTAGCTAAACTTAAGCTGAGTTTATGATGAGCTTATGATGAAGTTCAATAAGGTTTAATGCTCAGTAGGTGTCTGCCTGGCCGACGACAAATAAGACACATACACAAGGATGAGGTGCTATATTAACAACATGTTAGGATAACTTTCCACTACACAGCCTAGTTAAAACAGATATCACTCTTTGTATTAACCCCATAACCCCAGTCACTGGTAAGTCGCTGTCCACTTTCCACCACCACCAATCCTCTTCTAGGACATAGTTGGATGAAAACCTCCTGAATCGCATCATGACGTGTACTAGGTGAAGGTGGTGCAGAGCTCCTGGTCCGGTCCACTCTGGGTATTTACGTCTGTTCACCCATTTCGAGGATGGTTGATCCAGTGGTAACTTTCCATGCGTCGCGTCATCCCAGCCAAGCTCTCGGGCTTCTTTTTCAATATCGACGGCGTGATCGGTAAGAGGCGGGCTCGGTTTTCCTCGCCAGTCTCCCTCTTCCCGCTTTTCTAGATTCATAATAAATCTTGTCGCTGACTTGAGGTTGGTTCTCACACTGCAGAGAGCTGTCGGATATGTTGTGCTCCGCGAAATCCTGTCTGTTGCAATGCAGGCTGTGGAATGATATAGGCCTACTGAGACCTTCTGCAGACCCAGTATATACTAGAGATACAGGAAGGTCATCAATCTCCTCAACTGTGAAACGTTCTCTTCTTGACACTTTCGTTTGATGGATGACCATGAAGAGAGACTTGAACAGAGGACGGATGGTGTGGGTTCTGTTCAACGTCATATGCAGATCATCCGGCGGCTGTCCTGGTATTGCAGGGAACGGCAGAGTAGATATTCTCTGAAGCTCCTCAGATGTGGCGCCTCTGAAGACAGCGGAAGAGAAGCTTTGAATGAGCTTCTGATGGAATTCCAATATATCGGCGAGCGTTGGTTCTGTGTCTCTAGTATGATGTCTAAACGTGATGGATTTAGCAATGTAGCGACCATGCTCTATATCAGATTCATATGGCTTGAACCAATGACGGTAAAGCCAGGGGTCGAGAGAGTTCAAGACACCGCCAGCAGCTCTATCTGATTCTATCCTGTCTGGGTAACAGAGATACATCGCGACAGACTTGTTATGACAGTCAACGAAATGTTGAGCACCATAGTGGTCAAGGTACCACTCCACGCTATCTTGACTGGCTGGGAATATGCAGTACAAAGGGTCTCGAGCAAAGCGCGCGCAAGTAATCTCCCGGTGCTCTTTTTCTTTGAGCCCACGCAACTGGTGGAGGATCTGGTCCCTGTCTGTGAACGGTCCTGGTAACTCTAGCGCGGGATCTGCTGCGACGACACGATCGTATTCCTTGGCAACCGTGGCCATCAAACGTCGACGGGTTCTGTGAATGACATGATCTGCCTTTTGGGAGTGGTGAGTATTGGGTTCAGAAGACATGGCGATATCGTGAAGTCGACGGGTGAAGAGTGAAGAGTGGAAAATACAAGAAAATAAGGACGCGAAACAACAGTCCAAGACACATTTATCACCAGAAAGCTGAAAGCCAAATCGCGATTTACTTCCGGATTGAAGCCGCCTGAGAACTCTAATACTGAAGAGAGTTTACTCTTACTTCTGGTTCAGCCATACAGAACAATGGGCAAGCGAGAGTCTAAGTTACTGGCTGAGAGCTTACTCCGGCAGACAGAACCTAGAAAAGAAGCATGAAAGTAAAGGCGGAGCGTGGAGACTATAGAATTTTTTCTAAGTTAGTCACTATCAAAGAAATTGCACCCGGGTCGGTCAGGTCTCCGCGGTTCACCTTTGGGCTGTTGTTTATAGTCCCTGATTTGGGCTGTCAGTATGGTCTGCCGCTCGCGCAGTATTATTCTTCTCCTGTTGATTATTACATTGGGGAATATATTTCATTTGGGCTTATATATAACGTACTATGCTCTTAAAATGGATACATAGAGTTAAGTTTTAATCTCATTGTCGTCCTTCAGTTCAATGTAGCAACTATAGTCTTAAGAATTTAACATTTTCAATGTCACCTACACTAGCTCGACGGCGAACTGATAACACATCAAGCGTGTCGGTCGCATAAAACAGAGGGTGGGGGAAGTACTTTAAATTCCTAATACTAAGAGAATATAGAGGGCCAGATTACTGAGAAACTATATATTTCAATGGCCGGGAAGCCTTAGAGGCAACTCAAAGTATCTAGACCAGGATCTGATTACGCCCTAGCCATTATACATATTCGGAGCAACAACGGTAATGTTTCTCCAGCGAGTGTTCTCCTCGGCATGCTTTATAGCGTCGCACACCTCGTCCAGCTGAAACCGATTGACTTGCACGCCACTCTCTGGCCCTAAATCGATCCGACCGTCCTCTATCATACGGATAATGCGCTCCATAGACTGACGGTTGCACATCCAGGAACCCTCAACCTTGAGCTTCTTGAAGACCACCGAAATATACGGAACCTCGGCGGGACCAAAGGCGCCGCCACTCAGGACAATGCGTCCACCTCGTTTAAGCGCATGCTCAGCCGCGGGAAGGTAAGGCGCCCCTTGGGCACCACCGGGGGACCAGTCATTGTAAACATCAACTCCTTCGCCTCCGGGTGTAGCCGCGATAATCTTACCAGCGTCGGCTTCCACGTCACCTGTCATAAGAACAGTAGTGAGCCGAGGGCTCTTGAGCCTGCTCTTCAAATCGCCCAACATCTCTGCGTCTCGTCCCAGGGCGATAACATTCGCCCCCACCGCAAGGGCTACCTCAACAGTATTCCCTCCAAATGTGCCACCAGATGGGCCAATGACAACCGTGTCCGAAATTTTGATATCGCCCGCCTCAAAGACTGCCCCGGCCGATACAGACAAGGCTGAGATGGACACCAGTTTGTTTGGTCAATACCCAACTCTTTGATGCGGCGCTCGTTAATGGGGTAGGCGTTTTCGAGAGGCGCGCGCTGGTATTGCTGGAACGAGCCGTCGCGGAAATCGCCCTCAGCCAGCCGATCGGTATTCGGCCCAGGTAGTCCCTTGACGTGGCCCGTCATGATGAAAGTATTCGGGTCATCGCGGCCGAGAATTGCGGTACTAACATACACCAGGTCTCCTTCCTTGATTTTTGCAGCACCGCTGCCGACCTTGTGGACGCGGCCCAAGGCGCCAGGGTTGGGGACGAACGGCGGGGTCAGGGCAGGTGCTGGAATGGTTCCATCATAAAAGCTTTGAATGTAGCGGGGGAGCGGCGCTGCGAAGACTTTGACCACGACGCTACCTGGGATGGCCTCAGGGATGGGTCTATTGTTGACAATGGATACTGGCTTGCCGAATTCCTCGAGCACGACAGCTCGCTGAGTTGAGGGATTCGCCATACTCTTTTAGTTAGAGCAAAAGCTTAGAAGCTAATAAAAACACTGTAGAGGTTTGGAAAACTGCTCCAAGACCGATGTTTGAACGGAAAACGAGTCTACCACCTAACCATTTATATGATATACTCTCGGCTCTCGCGGCCTCCGGACAGCGGACGAAAATCGAAGACATTACTAATTGCTTGGTTCGGGGCCGCATTTGCATCCGTTCCGAGAGACCCAAAGTAAGATGATTGGCCCAGCCCTCTGTGAGCTCCGCCAGCTAGTATCTATCTGTTAGTTTCACCTCCGCCTGTCTCGAGTCTTAAATGTTTAGGGTGTGCAACATAGGTGCGGGCGGAAGAGATAATTGACATTCGCTGCTTGATTCAAAGGGAGTGATGAAGTTTGGCCTCTATACCTATGTTTAATTTGCCGATATCATAGATAGCAAAAAAAAAAAAAAAAAAAAGCCGTTGCTTAATGCTGGTTGTGGTAGTTCACGCTCATCGTTATCCTTGCCTCATTTCTATCCTCACTTCAACACAGAGATCTCCGCCTCGTCCCTGACCTCGGCGGAGTTTCTGTTACACCTGTAATACACGTACAAGGTGAGATAAATTTGGATCCTCGTCCATGTCGTGGATGATCCAGCGTGGGAGTACATCCTTTGCCAATAAGTTAGCTTAATTTCCAAAATTAGATACCGTTAGCGAGGGCCCGAACTGTGCTCTACATACTCCGTGTTCATGATGGAAATGGGCCTCGATATTATCTGATTATATAAAACACTAAGTGTACTGATTGTCTTGGATGCTGATGTTCCCAACCCCAAAGCGAGATCCCGAAAGCGAGACCGAACCATGTATACAAAAGGAACGCAGGGCTGAGTACCGAATTAAAATGGGTGGGGGAGGCCCGTGCATGAGCAGAAGACCAGGGGCTGGGTGCGGACTTTTACAAGGAGGGAGGGTACCGAATCATGCCAGTGGAGTGGATTTAGTGGAGTGGATTGCAACTCTGTCAGGTCGTACTAGGGCAGACCGGCCCGCTCCGCGCTGATCGCTTAGAACCAACTCGCATTATCTATTCATATATTGCTGCATTGCAGCTGTTGGCAGTAACCGAGCTTCCTGTTTTGCCTTACACAATACAAAGACCTATGAGTTGCTTGTCTACCGTAGCAGCTAAGGCGGATAAAACCGGCAAGATGCGGTATTTTCTCCACTAAGGTTTACCGGAAATACATTCACTGATTGCTGCCTGATACTCAAACCTGCAGCAACACCAAAACAGTCATGCTCGTTGCCGTCCGGACTGCGATTTGTCTTGGTCGAGCCGAGGTGGCTTACTGGAAGGTTGCAGGGGCAGGTAGTCAACCATGGTACGTTTGAAGGAGGTCCGAGCGGTGATCAGTGATCACATCGCTCTCTTTGTGTTGTTCAAGACGTGCATTCTGATGGAACATCGGGTTCGGGAAGGGAGACCATTCCGTCGTTATTGCAGCCTGACATTTCTTGGTGTTGTGGATCATTATTGTGGGCCTCTTGCTGTGATACGGAGAAAGGATTCAGGCGAGACGCAAGTGGGGCACTCACCACAACCGCGCATCCGCGTTTACTACATTAATTTCAAGCAACGCTGTGAACGGCTTACCGGTATAGTAATTGGATTCCGACTATCTTTTCCAATACATGTACTGTTTACTTTCAAGATGAGGAAAGAAGGAAAGAAAGAAAGGACTACAAGTGATCAGAATTTTTGTTGTTCCTCCAGTCCCATTTCGTGCCTGTTGGCGTAGCCACAGCAACAGGGCCCTGACCCGTTACAAACGCTTGGTACAGTAGTAGGATCTCTGCTCGAGGCCCGTGTCGAGTCACGCCCGGTCGACGGCCCGCTTCTGTTCGGATACTCCAGCAGTCCGATAATATCGCCACCCTCAGCGGCGGACTCGAATCCACAGTCCATGCATGCGCTGCATGACATGAATGGTGGAATTTGGGCTTTCCGTGGCCTACCCGAGTTGTGTCGTGGGCAATGGCTTCAACAGATCATCCAATCACCAAGTGGCGGTTATCTGAGGGGTGGAAACGGAAGAATGCGCAATGCAAGGTGCCTCCAGTGCGAGCTGAGTGCGGGGATAACTCCCTATCTGGGTGAACTAACCATGCAAGTTTGCTTGAGAAGGAGGCGGGTAATCTTTCGACAGCTCGGCTAGAGGGAGGGTTCAGTTGCTCAAAAGTTCCATGCAATATTAAACACATTGGTCTTGTTTTGGGGTAATAAAGCCCCTCCAAAGAAGTAAGAGGCTAGCTGGCTACTTTATTCCGAAGCAACCAAACTGCTCGTGCATGCATCATACAGGTGGAAGAGTATTATCATGTCCTTGTGATATGAGTAGCTATACACGCAGGGATGAGCCAAATAGAAATATCAGTCCTAATAAGGCAAAATCAGGCAGTTCAAGATTATCAATTGAGTTGTAGATGAGTGGGTGACTGCGCAATCAGAAGTTCAATAGCTCCATTCACTGTGAATACTGGTGCTTTCACAATTCGACCCATCAGGTAAATACGAATACATGCGTATATATCATCATGAAAACGTACGGAAGGAGATACCCAACGCACGGCCTCTGGTAATAGACCAGGGGTTTACAAGAAGTGGATGAAGGGTCAGTGCATCAGGAACAATAAGTTGAGGCATTATGAAGTTTCCTCAATTCATAAAGCTGTACATAATTTTATACATAATGTATCTGCTCCTACCCCACCAACCACCAACAGTTCATCTCAGTCTCTCGATGTTCAAGACTTGACTTTCGCAATAAACTCCTCCCCGACAACCATTAGATAGCTCTCACTTACAAGGGAGGACAATACTGGATATTATAGCACCCAGTTGTTGGAGCCAAGCTACACTTCCCATTGGAGAAAACCGTGCCAGCTGGGCATACCGGCAGGTTAGGAGATATACACTTATCGCCCGAGACAACAAGCGGGAGGCGACAAGTGGGTCCATCATTAGAAGCACATTTGTTGTCCTTCAGCGTGGTTCCATGTGGGCATGAAGGAGCGGTGATGGTGACACAACCTTCTGGTCGCAGCTCGCTTCCAGGAGGACATGTCGGGCCATTGATCGCAACGCAGGTGCCGTTGACGAGCTGAGTCCCGGGCAGACAGGCGGGTGGCTGTCCAGAGGTGCACTTATCCCCCTCCAAGGTCGTATCAGCGGGACATTCGGGCAGCTTCCCTGCAATGCAACCCTGAGAAGAGAAAACAAAACCTTCTGGACAATTAGGCCCCTCTTGAGTGGTACACTCATTTCCTTGGATATGAGTGTTTGGGGGGCACACAGGTGCCTGACTGTGAATGCAGAATTTACCGTCGAAGACGTCGCCGTTTTGACACACTGGCGAGCTTTGTGAGATACAAGCAGTCCCATTGAAAACAAAACCTGGTTCACAGCCTGGACTCTTTTGGGAGACACAACTTGTACCATCGAACACGGCCTGGCCTGGACAAGCTGGTCCTGTAGTAGAAATGCATTTGCCCTCCTTGAATATCCCAGCGGTACATGTTGGAGTACTAATCGTGACACAAACATTACCACCGCCAGATATCGAGCCTGCAGGACACTCGGGGGCACTTGTCTGTATGCAAGAGTCCCCACGAAGAATCATATTGGCAGGACAGATCGGTGGGGTCCTGGAGATACAGACATCGTCTGACAGAACGGACTCTTGAGGGCATGTAGGAGGATCAGGCACAACACAGGCAGTGCCGTTAAATGTACCCTGCGCACATGTCGGCTTCTCTTTGAGGGCACAGATATTCTTGGATAGTACGGCATCATCCGGGCAAATCGGTGGGGTATTGGACGCGCATACTTTGCCATTATATGTGAAACCCGGCCGACACCGCCCATCTCGAGATGGCATCACACAAACACCATCTACCAGGTCAGCTCCTCGGACACAGCGTGGAAGCTCAGGAGCTTGGCAAGTCCATCCATTGTAATGGCCCACTTTGCACTGAGGTGGCGTCCCTGAGATACAGACACGTCCGCTAAACATTGTTCCAAAAGGACAGGCGGGCTTTTCTCGATAGATGCAGCTCTTTCCATTAAATGCAAATCCTTCATCGCAAGTTGGAGGTTGCTTGAATAAGCACATGCCCTCTTCAAGAGTCATGTGAGAGGGACATGACGGCGACTGGGAAAGGGTGCAAGATCCTCCTTCCACTCTTTCACCACCAGGGCATGTTGGTGGCACATTAGACACACAGAAGTTTCCAACTCCAGTAAATCCTTCTGGGCAAACCAGCCTCTCGGTAGAGATACAACTGATACCATTGTATATGAAGTTGTTGTCACAAGAGGGAAGTTGCGTGGAAATGCAATTGCTGCCATCAAAACGCGCCCCATCTGGACAAATAGGATCTGCTGTTGAGACACATTTCTCTTGCTGTATGACTGTCCCCTCAGGGCATTCAGGCTTCTTGTCAGAGACACAAGCACCCGCTTGAAGTTTCGTGTTAGGGGGGCAGACAGTGGTTGGCTTGAAAACACAGGTAGTGCCATTGAAGATGGTTCCTGACGGACAGCACTTGACCTGGCCTTTGGCGTCTTGGGAAGGGACAATGTCGTCAAGGTTTATTTGGCCACGGACATTTTCGGTTGTTTTCTGTATGGGGAGGGTTTCCACCTGTACCGAAAGTGGTTGCTGGACTTGGTTCTCTTGGGTATGAGCCGAAGAAGTGAACAGGGCAAGCAAAATGACCCAGCCGTAGTATTTCGCCATAGCTACGTTGCAAAGGACACCGCAATAATGATAGGACAAAGGGAGCAATGAAGATGTGCGATAATTGGGATGCAGCGCTACTAGACTATGACCAGAAGAACTTTATATATTCCCAAAGCGAAGGTCTTTTATGAATGTTAAGTCTCGGTTGTAGAACATAGACTCAGCTGCAATCACAGCCTATAGCGGGGAACAGGACCGGAGTGATGAGATACGAGATGCT